CATCTTGTAGAGGAATATGACACTTGACGGTTGGTAGGAACTGACTAATCTTCTTCGGCGGCTCGTAGAATGTTCTAATAGAAGCTCGCTTCAAGATATAGCCAATTTTGTCTGTGACACCTCTGACATATGGTAGTACAGCAGGCACACACTCGACTGTGGCCGGCTTCACTCGGTCACTGTGACGTAGGCGCGGGACCCGAAGCTTGTTGTCGTGCAGAACTTGCTTGACGTGCTGAAGCTCGGCGGCCAGGTGTTTGCTGTCACAGATCCCTCGTGCTCTCTGTAACAAAGATTTGCCCACGGTAGCTAACTGTGAAGGATGGTGGTGAGATTCACCGTTTAAATATCGGTTTGTATGGGTCCTTTTCCTATACACAGTGTGACCAATGGTGTTATTAGGATTTCGGATGACTAACACATCTAGGAAAGGTAAGGAATTATTTGCCTCTAACTCCATAGTAAATTGAATTTTAAAGTTTATGGAATTAAGATGTTCTAAAAATGCAGTTACTTTGTCTGATGGTAAAATTGTGAAAGTGTCGTCTACGTACCGCTTGTAGATCCTTGGTGTAACAGGTGCAGTAAGGAGGGCTTTCTCTTCAAAGTCTTCCATGAATATATCGGCGACAATGGGAGATACAGGTGAGCCCATCGCAACACCATCTACTTGCTTGTAAAACTTTTCCTTCCACAATAGATAGCCAGATGTAAGGCAATGTCTTAGTAATACTGCATATTCTGCTGGCATGTTATTTTCCTCTAGTTTCCTAGTTATAATTGAGATGCAGTCTTCAACAGGTAGGCATGTAAATAGAGACTGAACATCAAAACTGACCATGGTTTCATTGTCAGTAAGATGTAGGTCTTTTATCTCACTGACAAAATGGTATGAATCCTTAGTGTGTGCTCTTGTGTGTCCTCTGAGTGGTGATAATATTTTAGCTAAGTATTGAGCCAATCTGTAAGTTGGCGAATCAATCTGACTCACTATTGGACGTAATGGAGCATTCGGTTTGTGTATCTTTGGTAACCCATACAACTTCGGTGGTTTGGCACATGAAGGTATTATCGAATTAATGAATTAATATATATATATATATATATATATATATATATATATATATATATATATATATATATATATATATATATATAAATAGAATAGAGAAGTGTCTAAGGAGTTTAATGGCTGAATTCAATTGTTACTATAATTATTGGACGTAATGGAGCATTCGGTTTGTGTAGGAATATATAGACCTGATAGACACTTAGAATTATTTTTTAAGCAATTAGATACACTTCTAAATAAACTTAACACAAAAGAAAAAAATAAATATATTATAATCGCGGGAGACTTTAACATAAATATTTTAAATAAAAACAAAATTACACGTAACTTTTTGAATTTCATGGCTTCATACAACCTTAAACAATTAATAGATAAACCAACGAGAATTGCTAAAGAGTCCTCCACTTGCATTGACTTACTATTTACTAATTATTCATCCCTTGTTAAGAAATCTCAAGTAATTGACTATGGGATCTCAGATCATAAAGCAATAAACATAGAAATTGATACAAGTAATTTATTAATAAAACAAAATATTACGTACTTTAAACAAAAAAGACTATTTACCAATGTTAATATAAATAAATTTAAGGAATCACTAAATAAAATAAAATGGGAGAATATAATAAACATTAATAAAGGATTAAATGAAAACTACTCGCATTTCTTAGCCAGTTTAACAAAAATACTGAATAATCATATACCACTAAAAAAAATTAAAATTAAAAACTACAGTACTAAAAAAAGTTGGCTTTCGATGGGATTAAAAAAATCTTGCAGACATAAAAGAATATTAAAAATATTGCAAAATGAAACTAAAAACGAAGTTATACGAACACATTACAATATTTACAGTATAATATTAAAAAAATGTATAAAAATATCCAAAAGAATAGATTACATTAAACAAATGGAAAAATCTGACAATAAAACTAAAACGATGTGGAAAATTATTAATAATAAAACCGGTAAAAATAAAATGAAATTACTTCAAAATATAATTTTAAAAAGAAAATAATACATTAATTTCTTCCCCCCACATCGTAACAAATATGTTCAACGAGTACTTTGCCACTGTAGGCCAATGTTCTAACTCCAATAATATGGTAAATAGACATCCCGTTATAAATCCACCAACAAACTCTTTCTTTTTAACCCCTGTTGATCCAAGAGAAATAATGAATATAATTAAAAATATTAAAAATAAACATAGCTGTGGCATTGATGATATACCACCAATCCTGGTAAAGAAATGTGCAGAAATATTAGCTATCCCTTTAGCTTCACTTATAAACCAAAGTTTTGAAAATTCTCAGTTTCCGGATGCACTAAAAATTTTACTAATAAAACCAATATTTAAAAAAGACGACCCCCTAACCTGCCCTGCTTCCCACGTTTGCTAAAATATTTGAGAAAGCCATGTGTAACCGACTCTATCATTATTTAGAAAAATACAATATATTAGACGAATCACAGAACGGTTTTAGAAAAAGTGGATCAACAACTCTGGCAGTGTATAAATATATCCAAACGGCAGCGCAACATATTGATAATAAAAGAGCCGCCATAGGCCTCCTTTCGGATATGACGAAAGCATACGATAAAGTTCAATTTAATATACTTTTAAATAAATTAAAGGGTTCGGGAATTCGTGGAACGGCCTATAAATGGTTCCAATCATATCTGACAAACAGGAAGCAGATAGTTCAAATCGAACACCGCAACGATGAAAAACGGGAAATCGTTGTAGTACAGTCTCAAATCCGGGACCTCACATGTTCAATCCCTCAAGGTAGTGTCTTAGGATGCCTATTGTTTTTAATATATATAAACGATTTACCCAAGATAATAAATAACGAAAACACATTAAGCGTACTCTTTGCCGACGATGTGTCAGTGTTAGTGAACCGCGATAAAAACACAAATTATAACTATATTGTCTACAACACTCTACAAACTATAACAAATTGGCTTGAAGATCACAACTTAGAAATTAACTTTAAAAAAGACCAAAATTATGCAATTTAAAACATATAAAAGCAGCCCATTAACTTTAAACATAAACTTTAATAATATACAACTAGAAGAAGTTGATACTTTTAATCTTTTAGGGTTGAAAGTAGATTCAAACATCAATTGGAAAACGCACATTAATTATATAAAGTCTAAAATTTCAAAATTTACGTATGCTTTATTTCAAATTAAATACACCACTGACACAGCCACGGCATTGTCAGCTTACTATGCCTATGCTCATTCGTGGCTTAAGTACGGAGTTATGTTGTGGGGAAGTAGCGTCGATGTGCTGCAGCTTTTTATTACCCAGAAAAAGTGCGTTAGAATACTAGCCCAGATAGATAACACTACTAGCTGTAGACCGTATTTCAAACAACTAAATATTCTTACCTTACCCTGTATGTACATTTATGATCTATGCCTGTTTGTCCACAAAAATAATAATAGTTTTAAGAAAATTAAAGATACGCATAACTTAAATACACGTAACAAAAATAAATTATACCTACCACAGTCGCGAACAAAAATGTTAAATACAAGCCCCTACTATATGGCAATAAAAGTATATAATAAATTACCACAGGAAATAAAAAATATATCAGAATTAACCAAATTTAAATCAAGACTCGGTAAATATTTAAAACAAAACCCCTTCTACTCAGTAGAAGAGTATTTAGATAAAAAATAACACTATTATATATTTTTATATCTTTTATAGCTTTTAATTTTATTTTATTTTATGTATGTTAATAGTATATAAGCAGTGCCCTTGTCAAATTTGCAGTGCCTGAAAAGGGCGTCTAAGTTGTAAGCACATTTTTAATTTAATACCAATTATGTACACTTAGATTGCAAATAAATGATTTGATTTGATTTGAAGGTAGCGTGAAGGTCCATCATGAGGAGCATCTTCTCTTCCTTATCGCGTTTGAGCTGCTCTTCCTAACGACGGGCCTATTCCTCCTACTGCTCTTTCAACCGACGAGCCTGTTCCTCCTGTCCGCGCTGCAGCTGCTCTTCCAACCGACGGGCTTGTTCCTCCTGTCGTCGGGCCTATTCCCCCTGTCGACGGGCCTGTTCCTCCTGCTGCTCTTTCAAGCAACGGGCCTGTCGGCGAGCCTGCTTCTGCAGCATCATCATGAGAGCATCTAAGTCAGGTGCTGCAGGTGTAGGAGCTGCTGACGGGCCGGCCTCCGTGGCCGGCAGTTGGCCCTACGACGTCTGCGGCGTTGCACCACCAAATCTTCTCTGGTCCGTTTCCTGCTGGCGTTGACTTTCGGTACGGACACCCTCCGTGTCGTCCTTCGGTGAAATCAGCATGATTTTATCCCACTACTGACACCAACTGTTACGAGTTAAGGGTTCGTGACATTAAAAACTGCCGATTGAATTACCAAAATTGACACTTTCATTACCGAACACCAATTAAAACAAATAGACACTAACATTTAATCACACTTAACACTTTAGTTCACTTTATTTCGATCCGAATTCTTCGATTGTGTCGCCAATTCAATACTGCCCCGGTCGCGGCCCTAAACGGCTTTATATAGGCCTTTTTCACCGTAATATCTAGAATATTCCAGCAAATACCGGTCCCGACACCTAGTCGTGTAAAAAATTCGAGTGTGGAGTTTTCTAGAAAGCTTAGTTCTTCCATTTGATAATAGATGGCGCTAGTGCCATGTACCAGGCATCAACTGTGGCGCGCAACATTATTAATTACTTCTTTTGATTCTGAAGATATATCGTTTTCAAACACTTCATTCTGATTTTGCTTCCTTTTCCTTTTTCTCTTTGTACTTATAGTTTTTTCTCGTAAAGTATGCGAAACCTCCATAGTACACGATTCTAAAGTGAATGGTATTGAATTAGTGTTAGAAGTATGTTCAGAACGTAAGCGCGGTACCGATCAAGTTACGTTTGCGTAAGACATTACCCCATCTTCGTTTTCCTAATTATAGTAACAATTGAATTCAGCCATTAAACTCCTTAGACACTTCTCTATTCTATTTATATATATATATATATATATATATATATATATATTCATTAATTCGATAATACCTTCATGTGCCAAACCACCGAAGTTGTATGGGTTACCAAAGATACACAAACCGAATGCTCCATTACGTCCAATAGTGAGTCAGATTGATTCGCCAACTTACAGATTGGCTCAATACTTAGCTAAAATATTATCACCACTCAGAGGACACACAAGAGCACACACTAAGGATTCATACCATTTTGTCAGTGAGATAAAAGACCTACATCTTACTGACAATGAAACCATGGTCAGTTTTGATGTTCAGTCTCTATTTACATGCCTACCTGTTGAAGACTGCATCTCAATTATAACTAGGAAACTAGAGGAAAATAACATGCCAGCAGAATATGCAGTATTACTAAGACATTGCCTTACATCTGGCTATCTATTGTGGAAGGAAAAGTTTTACAAGCAAGTAGATGGTGTTGCGATGGGCTCACCTGTATCTCCCATTGTCGCCGATATATTCATGGAAGACTTTGAAGGAGAAAGCCCTCCTTACTGCACCTGTTACACCAAGGATCTACAAGCGGTACGTAGACGACACTTTCACAATTTTACCATCAGACAAAGTAACTGCATTTTTAGAACATCTTAATTCCGTAAACTTTAAAATTCAATTTACTATGGAGTTAGAGGCAAATAATTCCTTACCTTTCCTAGATGTGTTAGTCATCCGAAATCCTAATAACACCATTGGTCACACTGTGTATAGGAAAAGGACCCATACAAACCGATATTTAAACGGTGAATCTCACCACCATCCTTCACAGTTAGCTACCGTGGGCAAATCTTTGTTACAGAGAGCACGAGGGATCTGTGACAGCAAACACCTGGCCGCCGAGCTTCAGCACGTCAAGCAAGTTCTGCACGACAACAAGCTTCGGGTCCCGCGCCTACGTCACAGTGACCGAGTGAAGCCGGCCACAGTCGAGCGTGTGCCTGCTGTACTACCATATGTCAGAGGTGTCACAGACAAAATTGGCTATATCTTGAAGCGAGCTTCTATTAGAACATTCTACGAGCCGCCGAAGAAGATTAGTCAGTTCCTACCAACCGTCAAGTGTCATATTCCTCTACAAGATGCAGGAGTGTACAAGCTTGATTGTGAATGTGGTCTCTCTTCAACATAGGACAAACAAAAAGATCAATTAGGACCCGCGTAAAAGAACATATAGCTGATGTGAAGCATCAACGTTCCGGGAAGTCTGCAGTTTGTGATCATATCCTAGACGGACCCAACCATTACATCAGATTTGATAGACCACAAATCCTCGCGAAAGAACACCGATTCCTACCAAGGATGATACGTGAGGCTATTGAAATTAAAAAACATCCTAATTTCAATAGAGAAGGAGGCTGGGTACTACCACCTGCTTGGGATCCTATAATCAATAAAATTAAAACTAAACCCAAGCATACCACTGCAAGACCTCAGGACATAGTCAGTTCATTTTGCATAGATCGGACCAGAAACAATAATTAAAAAGCTGAAGGTACTCCGGGTTTAACAATGACATCGGGACGTCAGTCATCTCAGTCCCCCGTGACCATGGGTGCTGGAAAGCGCCCGAAACGTCGGGAATTAAAAATAAAAATAAATAAAAAGTAAAAATAAACGCGATAAAATCCGTAAAAGTAGTTTTAATCATGTATAGTGTTCGCGTAAATATAAGAAATCATTATTGAAAGTCAATATAAACTACCACTGATTCGGAAGGAAAAAAACATCTATGGAAAGAAATGGCGCAAGAAACCCACAGGAAGTTTATCTTTTAAAATTGTCAGATTGTTTACAAGGCAAAACTTAACATTAGGTACATTATACATACAACAATCAATAATAATAATGAATGTACAATTGGATTTTAAATTATACACAGTGCTCAACACTTAGCAACCTTTACAGGTATTGCATAAAATATACTTATATAGTTATAGTTATACTTAATGGGCAGACAATGGCGCCATCCATCATTTTGTTCAAATATCTTAAAGATAAACAATGTAATCCTTACTTTGTGTCAATAAATTGTTATTATTATTGGGGTATCTATATAATTTTCTCACCTGGTTGGGTTCTATAAATATATAATTATAAATTAAAATGAAAAGATAAATATACATAAATATCAATAAAATAAATACAAAAACTACATAAATAAATAAGATCCAACCAGATGGGAGCCCTCGGCAGGGGAGACCAAACGGCCGAGGGTTAGGGGGAAAGGGAAAGAAACCGGCGGACGATGCGGGCGGTATCGAGGAGCACCGCCTTCTGCATTTGAGCCCGGAGCGGTCCGTCACGGAGTCCCAGTCGCCTCAGATGACCCGAGAGGCTGACTGGGATTAGCCCATTCGCAGAGACGACTACAGGAATAATTTCGGTCGGCATACCAACCCATATGTTGGTCACCTCGTGAGCCAGGTCCAGATATTTTGTTCGTTTCTCTGTTTCGGCTTTCACGAGGTTCTCGTCATACGGAATGGTAATGTCGATCAAAAATATCCTTGACTGTGCCCGGTCCATCAGCACAATACCATTCGCAAGAATAGTCCTGTCTGTGATGATGGCCCGGTCCCAATAGAGCCTGGCGCGGTCATTTTTGAGCACGGCTTCCGGCAAGTACTTGTAATACGGCAATTTTCGGTCCACGAGACCGTATTTCAGAGCGAGCTCCTGGTGTAGAATTCTGGCTACTAGGTTGTGCCTGTGCAAGTACTCAGAGTTAGAAAGCGCCGAACAACCGGAGATGACATGCCTAAGTGACTCCCCGGGATGGCGACAAGCTCGGCAGACGTCGACAGTGCCATCCTTTAGGATGTATCTCCGATAGTTGTTGGTCTTAATAACCTGATCCTGTATTGCACAGACAAAAGCCTCGGTTTCGGCCTGATTTGGTACTGGGCCCGTTCCACTTACTATTGGTCGATTATATATTGCCAATGATTTATAGAGCCTCTTCTGATCACTCTGGAAGAGACGATTCTGGTTGGACCGTGTCAACCTCTCGGTATATCGCCGAATCTGCTTTCCCCAAGCAGCGATTCTTTGCTTCAGGTCGTCTATGCGCTCCGTCAGTTTTTGCATTATATCCGGCTGGGACAAACTAACATTTGTCCCAGCAAACGCCATCCTGACGGTGCGCACAATCCTTGGCCTGGTATTGCCTGACCTGAAGCATATCAGTCTGCCGATGAGGGCCCTAGCCTTTGCGATACGTTCTTCAATTCTTATTCTCCAGGTTGGGATAGCACTAGTTTGTCCAGTAGCGCGTCCAGCCGTGGAAAGTTTGGCTCCTATAATACGGCAGACTGCCAGTGCGGCGCCAAAAAGAATTGAGTCCGTCTCACAAAGGTCCCGGCTGGCTTCCAAATAGGTAACCAGCATTGGGTTGAGAGCCCTCACGACAGCCCGATTCCGCTTGCTTAGGGCTACGCAGGGAAGTCGCGGTCGATTTTCGAGAGGCGTACTGCGCGTTTCCACAATCGCCTCTTCCAATGTACTCCTCATTTGCTCTAGTTCCAGTTCCTGGGCGACTGTTCCATCATCGTCTGAATCAACCACAACTGGCGTGTTCACGGCGGCATCCACATTTGCCGTTTGCTCAGCAAGTTGTGGCGCCGCATCCTCAGCCGCAGCATTTTTACCCGATGTAGGAACAGCCTCACGTCGTAGCCGTTCGAGTTCGGTAACATCAAATGTATTTGAGCGCAAGATATACCGAACTCGGTCTGCCAGGTTTTGCTCGGTGACGGTTACAGATGGCTCCAGCTCAGCAAAAAATCGATGCATCCATGCCCGATACGCAAAACCTCCAGTTTTGCCCCCTTTCGCACGCCCGCAATGCGTTGCTGTTCATCTGGGTTGTCCAACGCATGCGGCGTACTCCACCGGAGACGGGTGCCGATTGCTGGGCCCGCGAAGACCGCGAAGACTGCCGACACCAAGCCAGCTGGTGGGGATGATGGATGCGAGGGGCTGCTGGGTGGTCGTGCAGCACCTCGCGCTCGGCTGCGATTCGCATGCTGTCGCGTCCAGCGCCAGCTCCAGACGCGCCCGGGCGATCTCCAGGCAGGCGGCTCTTTGCGCGTTTTATTTAACTCATTCATCCATTTTTAGGGCGTCATTTAGCGGGAGGCGCCCAGACCCGGCGCCGTTTCATGGTGAGGCCATGTGCACAAGCGGGCCTTTGCACCTTCAATTTTAGCCGAGACACGGCACTAACACCTCTTGGCAAGGTGCTGACTGACTGCGCTGGCGTAGCGGTTTTGTCACATAACCGTTACGTCAGCGGGGTATGGGGTCGTCACTTCCCTACGCCTTTATTATTATTATTATATGGGGGGTATCTATATAGTTTTCTCATCTGGTTGGGTTCTATAAATATATAATTATAAATGAAAATGAAAAGATAAATATACATAAATATCAATAACATAAAATAAATATAAAAATACATAAATAAATAAAAGCCCAACCAGATGGAGGCCCTCGGCAGGGGAGACCAAACGGCCGAGGGTTAGGGGGAAAGGGAAAGAAACCGGCGGACGATGCGGGCGGTATCGAGGAGCACCGTCTTCTGCATTTGAGCCCGGAGCGGTCCGCCACGTAGTCCCAGTCGCCTCAGATGACCCGAGAGGCCGACTGGGATTACCCCGTTTGCAGAGACGACTACAGGAATAATTTTGGTCGGCGGACCACCCCACATGTCGGTCACCTCGTGAGCCAGGTCCAGATATTTTGTTTGCTTGTCTGTTTCGGCTTTCACGAGGTTCTCGTCATACGGAATGGTAATGTCGACCAAAAATATCCTTGACTGTGCCCTCAGCACAATATCAGGCTTATTCGCAAGAATAGTCCCGTCTGCGATGATGGCCCGGTCCCAATAGAGCCTGGCGCGATCATTTTCGAGCACGGCTTCCGGCAAGTACTTGTAATACGGCAATTTCCGATCCACGAGACCGTATTTCAGAGCGAGCTCCTGGTGAAGAATTCTGGCTACTAGGTTGTGCCCGTGCAAGTACTCAGTTAGAAAGCGTCGAACAACCGGAGATGACATGCCTAAGTGACTCACCGGGATGGCGACAAGCTCGACAGATGTCCACGGTGCCATCCTTTAGGATGTATCTCCGATAGTTGTTGCGTCTTAATAACCTGATCCTGTATTGCACAGACAAAACCCTCGGTTTCCCCGAAGAGATCACCAAAGCGTAGCCAGTGGAGGGAGGCTACTGTGTCTACGAAAGGCTCATGTAGAGCCTTGTAGAACCTCCCGTGGAGCTCCTTCTCCTTCCATACGGTCTCCCGGTCGGAAATGCTGAGCACTGCTGGGTCCTGCCATTGCTTGTTGGCTAAGGATAGAGGGGTAAGCCCTTTATCACTAGAAATGACGTCATTATAGAATGGATCATCCGATCTCGCCAGGAAGTAATCACGGAGGCTGCACACTTCGCGAATTATGCATGGTGAGCGCGCTCAGAAAACCACGTCCACCATGCTTTCGCGGCAAGTACAGCCTCATTACCGAAGATCTCGGATGACGCATCCTATGGGACGTCATGGTAGTGCGGACTTTTCTATCCAGGGCGTTAAGTTCAGTCTGGGTCCACCTGAGCATGCTAAAGGTATACATGAGGACAGACATGACCCAACCGTTATATGCGTGTGTCTTATTCACACCGGACAAAAGGCTGTTAAACACTTTGGTCAAGCGTGCATAAAACACGTCGCAAACTGACTGTTTCATACCAGCCTCATCGATACCGATGTTCTGTGACATACCCAGGTATCGGTATGTTTCAGCCTTGGAAAGGGTCCTTAAGTTGACGGGCATAGATAAGTCTATGCCCTCAGAGTTAGCAACCCTTCCCCTTTCAACATGGAGGACCGCACACTTATCCGTTCCCAGCTCCATTCCAATAGAACTGCTAAATTCTCAAGTGATGTTTAGCAATTCCATAAGATGGGAGCGACTGGAGGTGATTAACTTGAGGTCATCCATATAGAAAAGGTAGATCACTTTGTACCTCCATTACGAAGCTGAAATCCCCTCTCGGAGCAATCCAGTAAAGTACTGAGAGGGTTCAGGGAGAGGCAAAACCAGATTGGACTCAGACAATCGCCCTGGAAGATACCCCTTCTTAATCCTTATGTGGTTCTCCGCAGCCATCATCCGCTCGCCCAGATAGCAAAGGATCGTACTCCATTGCCCCATACACTGCTCGAGGATGTCTCCAACTGTACAGTCAATTTTGTACAGCTGGAGGACTCTCTTTAGCCATGTATGGGGCACCGAGTCGAATGCCTTTCTGTAGTCTATCCAGGCGGCGGAGAAATTCCGACGGTTGCGTTTCACCACTTTGCCAATGACCGCGTCAATGAGGAGTGGTTCCTTGGTTCCACGACCACCGCCCCGGCATCCATTTTGAGCGCGTGACATCACCTGATTTAGCTCCAGGTGACGAGTGATTCTCGCGCTCAAAATGGATGTCAGTGTCTTATATATGGTGGGTAGACACGTGATGGGGCGGTATTTGCTCGGGTCTGTGGTATCCTGATCTTTAGGAACCAAATGAGTGATCCCAGTAGTGAAGAGGCTCGGAAGCGACTTCGACCTCTTGAAACTGTCGGGCGAGCACAGCATGACACGCTACGAACCCCTTCAGCCAGTAATGATGCAGCCCGTCGAGCCCCGGACTTTTCCAGTTCGGGGCCCTACGGACCGCCTCAGCCACGTCTTCAGGCGTTATGGTGACGGGGTCCATAGGCGTAACACTTGCACTCTGGCTCGCCACAACTTCCATCCAAGGGCCCTCGCTGTGGTTTACGGGCTCTGACCACAGGCCACGCCAAAATGCGACAGTGTCGGCCTGATCCGGTCCTGGGCCCGCTCCACATACCTCTGGTCGCTCCAATGATTTATAGAGCCTCTTCTGATCACTCTGGAAGAGACGATTCTGGTTGAACCGCCTTGACCTCTCGCTAAATCGTCGAATCCGCTTCCCCCAAGCAGCGATTTTTTGCTTCAGGTCATCTTTGCGCTCCGTTAGTTTTTGCGTGATATCCGGTTGGAACAAACTGATATTTGTCCCAGCAAACGCCATCCTAACGGTGCGCATAATCCTTGGTCTATTATTACCCGACCTGAAGCTTGTCAGTCTGCCGATAAGGACCCTTGCCTTTGCGATATGGTCCTCTATTCTTTTTCTCCAGGCTGGGATGGCGCTACTTTTTTGAGTAGCACGTCCAGCCACGGGAAGTTTGGCGCCAATAATACGGCATACTGCTAGTGCGGCGCCAAAAAGAATTGAATCCGTATCGCAAAGGTCCTGGCTGGCTTCCAAATAGGTCACCAGCATTGGGTTAAGAGCCCGCACGACAGCCCGATTTCGCTTGCTAAGGGGTATGCGGGGAAGCCGCGGTCGATTTTCGAGAGGCATGCTGCGCGTTTCCAGCATCGAGTCTTCCAATATGCTCCTCATTTTCTCTAGTTCGTGGAAGACTATTCCATCATCGTTTGAATTAGCCACAAATGGAATGTTGACGGCTGCATCCACATATGCAGTTTGTTGCGCACCTAGTGGCGCCGCATTCCCAGCTGTAGCATTTCCATTCGATGAAGGAATAGCCTCACGTCGTAGTCGCTTGAGTTCGGCGTCACCAAATATGTTGGAGCGCAGGATGTACCTAACTCGGTCTGCCAGGTTTTGCTCAGTGACCGATAGAGATGGCTCCAGCTCTGCAAAAAAGCGATGCATCCGAGCCCGATACGCCAAACATCCAGTTTCTTCCCTTTTGCCCTAAAATACGCCCGCAGTGCGTTTTCATTCATTGATTTAAACCAACGCATGCGACGTGCTCCACCAGCGGCGGGTGCCGCTTGCTGAGTCCGAGAAGACCCAGCCGACACCAAGCCTTCTGGTGGGTATGATGGATGCGGGGGGGCTGCTAAGTGGTCTTGCAGCACCCCGCCCTCGGCTGGCGGCCCGCATGCTGTCGCGTCCAGCGCCAGCTCCAGACGCGCCCTGGCGACCTCCAGGCAGCGGCCCTTTGCGCACTATCTTTTTTTCATCATCCATAATATGGGCGTCCATTAACGGGAGACGCTCAGGCCCGGCACCGTATCGTGGACGGCCATAATGAATGTTACGGGTTTGCAACATATCATTGATATGCAGAAGAAACAGCGTTGGCGATAGCACGCAGTCTTGTGGAACACCAGCATTAATAGGCTTGTAATCGGTGCTTGCACCGTTTACAACGACCTTGATGCTCCGATCTGCAAGAAAGCTGGTGATCCAATCGCACAATTTCTCGGAAAACCAATAGGAAGGAGCTTCGAAAGAAGCGCTTTGTGCCAAACCCGATCGAAGGCCTTCGTAATGTCCAAACTAACGGCCAATGCCTCCCCCTTGGACTCTACTGCCTCCGCCCATCTATAAGTTAGGTAGACCACTAGATCACCAGCTGATCGACCAAGGCGAAAACCGTACTAACGATCACTAATCAGCTGGTGATCCTCAAGGTACCTCATGAGCTGGCAATTAACAATAGACTCCATTGTTTTGGAGAACAAGGAGGTGATGGCGATAGGTTGGTAGTTGGATGGGTCTGACCGGTCACCTTTTTTAGGGATCGGGTGGACGAAAGCCGTCTTCCATGATTTTGAGACTACGCCTAGGGAGTAGGAGTACCGGAAAAGACGCGTTAAAACCGGTGCCAACTCTGGAGAACACGTCCTCAGCACAATTGGGGGGATTCCGTCAGGCCCACTCTACTTGTGGATGTCCAGGGAGAGGAGTGCTTTGTGAACCGAGCGCTGTTTGAACTGCACCTCCGGCATGGAGCACTCACACCGCGGGATGGTCGGCGGCGTACTCCCCCCGTCATCGAGAGTCAAGTTGGACACAAAGAAAGAGCCTAGCAGATCGGCTTTCTCCTTTGCGGTATTGGCCAGTGAGCCGTCCTCCCTGTGCAGAGATGGAAGAGATGGCTGACAGAAATTCCTCTGGACAGACTTGGCGAGAGACCAGAATGCACGAATTCCAGAAGGAAGGCGAACTAGTTTCTCGCCAATTCCACCTATGTGCACTGACTTTGCCTTGGCAATGACTCTTTTGAAGGACCTAGAGGTGGAATTATACTTCTTTTTAGAGCGCTGGTGTTTACATCCCGGGATGTTGATGCGTCTCCCATGCTTGATAGCACTCCCGCTTAAAGCATGATGCTATTTTACAGGAGCGACCAAACCATGGCTGAGATTTGCCTCCAATGGGCACCACAGAGGAAGGAATAAAAAGTTCCATACCCTGAAGTACCACATCAGCGACAGAATCCGCAACAACGTTGGGATCGTCCGGCGAGAAGCAAATCCGCCCCCCAAGGGTAGGATGCAAAGAAAGACCGCATCCCATCCCAATCGGCTGACCTATACGAGTGCCAAACACGGCGGCAGCCTGCAGAATGCAACTGCGATTTCAGCGTGAGTGGCACCACACTCCGGACAAGACAATGGTTCGAGGAGCCTAAAGGGGCGTCGACGGAAATCTGATATCCGTCCGGGTGAGAGGTCAGCAGAAGGTCCAACAGGGAAGGTGCATGATCCTAATGAAGCCATTCAGTGTGATGGGCGTTAAAGTCGCTGAGGATCACGATCTCTGCGGAGGGGATCTGCTGTAACAACGAATCTGTAGCCATTTGGACGTGGTCGAAGAGTCGGTCTGTTTCGGCATTATCGCTATGGAACCTATAGAGGCACCCGCAGACACGCGGATGGTCGTCTCTGTCTACGCGTAGCCAAAGGATGGACAGGTCCAAACATTCAAGACTGCCGAGGCATCGAGAACGGATGTCCTCTCTGACGTAAACGCAAACTCCAGCCCGAGGCACAAAGGAGTGTTCCTGTTTGTACCCCGGGTAGGAGTGATACGAGACATCAGCCGGAGAGGACATCTGCGTCTCGGTCAGAAAGAGCAGAGCAGGTCTCACCATCTCGAGATGGTAGTGGACGGCGTTTAGGTTAGAGTGAAGTCCCCTGATATTGCAGAAATTTGCGAATAGCGTGGCAGGGGTCGCCTTGGTCATGTTGCTCCGTTTGCCCCTAGCAGTTGTAGTCTAGAGCGGAATTATGCCGCCCCCCCCCCAGAATACGCGGGACAGCCTGAGCACCCACGCTCAGGAGTGGAGTAACTTGGTCGTGGATGCTTAGCGAGGGATTCTCCAGGAGTGCTGGTACCCTCCTGGGTAGTTTGACATTTAATTCCGCTACCATGTTGATGGGGGGGGGGATTTGGGCCTCCGGCCATCTGTACTCACCAGACGAAACGCGGAAGCAGAGCTTCCACTTCACGCCGTATTCTGTGAGGTCGTGGTACCACCCCGGTTTGAGCCGGCCCATAAGTGCAACAGCAAAAAGAAATGTTGGCATTAAGAAAAGAAAACGAATTTTTCGTTGCGAGATTAACACCCTCAATAATAAATTGAACCAAATCGATCAACTTTTATTTTTTACCTTGGATACAGTGCGTGCCCGAAAATAAAAACGGAGAATGTCGTAAGCATAGTAAAACAGATAGGATGCATCATTAAACATACAATGAGTAACCATTATTTATAATCTGATATGTTTTATTTAATCTTGTGCTGTCTTCCACTCTTTTTATATATATGTACTTTGTACATAAATAAAAAACAAACAATAACAATAAAATAGTAGTAAACCACAGCACTACTCTTCATCGTGATGACGTCACTGTCACGACTGGACGACAACGGCGTAGCTGACCTTCCTTTTTGAAATTTTCTTAGAGATGTACCGTGTCGCAAGTTGTGTATCGATTTCGAAATCGATGTAACCAAAATATACAGAGATCGACTCAAAATATTTTATGTGTCGGGGGAGGCGTAGGCCAAGTGAAGCATAGAGGAAAAGTCTTACGCTACTAGATGATTTTGAGATTGAGAAAAAAAAATCGCACAACACAAAATGAAAAATTGCTCTTCATACCTTAAAAATAATAAACATTCATTATTTGTAATTTTATATTATTGACGCTTTCCAAAATGCGAATGAGTTCTGAGGAATCGTTCATGTTGCACTGTACTACTTTTTCCGCTATTCGTTTATGACGTCATTAGGGTGTCGTCTATCCTTGACCACAGCCTCCAATAGGAGTAATAGTGTTCTGTGACCACGGCGCTCAATGAACTGATAATCGATGACGCGCTAAGGATGCGCCAGAGTTGAGATATTAGATTTAATATACGAAGGTGATTTGATGAAATTTTTCTTTATTTATGTAGCTGATGATAGTTTTATGTTTCTTACCTTTTGTTTTAATCAAATATCAATAAAAATTTAAAAAATAACGCGCGTTTAATTTTGAATAGTTTTCAAAAAATCTATGCCTAACGCATTACAACACTAGCGGTCAAACATAGACGAATTTGGCGTGCTGGACATAGTATTTGCTTACGGCGTCCCTACACGTTGGCCCATGAAGGTTAGAAAACAAGAGAACGATCGCCGTAGAAAATAGTGTCCTAGAAATATGGACACCATAAGTGAGGCGCTGCGATCGCTAAGTTCGGTCAATAAAAGTCATTTTCAGTCTATTTTCCCGATCAGATGCTAAACCACTTACACATCCACGCACAATAAAATATTTCTCCATTTTTAATATTTCTTTTTGTAAAAAATTACAAAATTAGTTAGCATGAAAATTTTCTCATCAATACCGCGGAGAAAATTTGTACATTATTCAACTAACTTCATCTACTTGTACTCATAAACAGCTAACTTCGCAGTCACTACTCACCGACGTCAGCGCCGCTATAAATTCTACAATTTTCAAGGACAGGCGGGCTATGCTTTAGTATGTAGTGATCGTTCTACTGTTCTCTAACGGCGGCTCCTACACGTTGGCCAACACAGTGGCGAATGTAATGGTGAAGATATTGGCCGAGAGTTTGTGACGGCATCCACACGCTGGAAGGTCGTTCAGTTTGCTTCGGTTCAGGCCAATGTGCGGACGATTTTATTTTATTTTAGGCGACGGCTCCGTGGCGCAGTGGTTTACCAATGAGTGGCTGCGCCGGGGGCCGCGGGTTTGAATCCCGCATGGAACAAGTATTTGTATGTCCTACAAATAATTGTTTCGGGTCGGGATATGTGTCCTTGTGCAATTTATGTTTATAAGCTCCCTCCGCGATACAGGAGAAAATCCAAGTGTGGTACCCGCACTACTATTACTACTATTGGTGTAGTGGCCAATAGCATTGGCTAACGTGTAGAGCGGGTGTTTGGGCTTCATTGGTATGTATTGGAACGATGGCCCACAAATTGGCGCGAGATCCGTGTGGTGTCGGTTTTTTACAAAAGATCAAAGGATTGTTGACAGAGTTTGGTCGCCGCGTCCACACGTTGGGCGCGCTTTAGTTTGCTACTACCTCCCAGAGTAATTACACGCATCTGAATTAAAATTTATATTCAAGCTTTGGAGAGTGGATGCCCCAATTACTAGCCTTTTAGTGCCAATTTCAACTTTAAACATTTTTGATGATGATTTAATTATTTTTAAACATTTGTTTTAATCGATAAGCTATTTATAAAAAATTAACATTTATTTACAATCAGATTATTACGAGAACAATTTTGAAATAAAAAAAATGAAGCACGTGGTTTATACGTGGTAGAACCATGCAGTTATATTAGAAGTATAGTTGTAGTACGAATGGGTCGGCTCGACCGGGGAAGGACCACGCTCTCACAGAATATCAGCGTAAAATAGTAGCTTAAAATGCTGTGTTTCGTATAGTGAGTGTAGAGAACCAGAGACCCTTTTTAAAGGAAACGAGCATTTCATCTTAGTCCTCACGGGTCACAACGCATCTGCATTTTGATTTGTAATCGAGGATAGATGTAGATGTCTATGGGCCGCAGCAACCACTTACCATCAGGTGAACTGTGTGCTCGTTTATCACCCTATTCTATAAAAAAACGTCGATTTCTTATAATTTAATCGTGGAAGTTTTCGAATCATCATCATCATTATAGCTCTTCACAAGTCCACTACTGACCATCCTCCTTCACAGACTTGAAAGCTTGGTCCTGAGCCACTTTACTTGTCATGAGTTTTTCTTTTATGTTCTAAGTTATAATTAAAGTACCAAATAAATTATAAGGTGTTTTTATATACATCAAATGTCTGATAGAAAAGCAAGTACATGTTTTACTAAACTTTAAAATCAAAACCCATTTTAAAACATAGATTAGAGTAACCAAATCTAAGAAATACATTTTGACACCTGTCAGACTTATTGCACCAGGCATGCCAACCAAAAAATGGGAACGTACAATATTCGATTCTTAAAAAAATCGATATCGATTATTTAGAGTTGGTAATCATTTACAGTTTGGTTTGAATATCAGAATAAATTAAAAAAGGATAATTTAAAACACAAGATTTATCAGTTTCTACGTATTTGATTAAAACTTACGGATTTTATCGCGTTTTATTTATATTAATTTTAATACCCGACGTTTCGGGTGCTTTCTAGCACTCATGGTCACGGGGGGACTGAGGTGACTGACGTCCCGATGTCAAAGTTAACCCGGAGTACCTTCAGCTTTTTAATTATTGTCTTTGGTCCGATCTACGCAGAATGAACTAACTGTATTTTGACGTCTTGCAGTGGTATGCTTGGGTTTAGTTTTAATTTTATTAATTATAGGGTCCCAAGCAGGTGGTAGTACACAGCCTCCTTCTCTATTGAAATTAGGATGTTTTTTAATTTCAATAGCCTCACGTATCATCCTTGGTAGGAATCGATGTTCTTTCGCGAGGATTTGTGGTCTATCAAATCTGATGTAATGGTTGGGGCCATCTAGAATATGATCGCAAACTGCTGACTTCCCAATCGATTTTGCGCGGTCGTTGCCACTTAGTAATAAACGAAATTACTATTTATTTATGAAATAAAATGAATTTGCCTAAACTCTATCGAATAAATTTTCTGCACGGCCTCTTAACTATAACTTAAAACCGTCGACAAAACAGCGCCCTTTTGACTCTATCCCGATGAAGAGCTATCGTATCACGAAGCCATCTATGCAAATACGGTTGTAGTTTTTGAGTTATGTGACCATATTAACCGGTTTTAGTTCATTTATTCTCAAAAGAATAATTTGTACTATAATTTAATTTTTTTACGATCAATAATAAATTAACAGTTTTGATTATTTCATTTGACTAAACTAAAGATTGGCTTAGCTGCTAATTTCATTTTATTTAGTAAGCCAGATCTCCTGGTTCTATCCTTATGTCACCTCTAGTGATTCCCACGAGATAAGATAAAGTGATGATTTATTATGGTGAGATTATGCCGCCAATAAACAGCAAAGATACTAGTTAGGTCTTGGGCGATATATAATTTAAAAAATCTTTTCAATTGCATTATTTATTTAAAACCTTACAAATACATTTGAAAATCACGACATGGTGACTATATCAAGTATCTTAATACTACTTCATATGTATAAAGTATTTCATGTAAATATGAAACTGTTTACTTTCTACCTCTACCACGGCCTCTCCCACCACCGAAGTTACCTCTCCCTCGGCCTCGGAAGTTTGTATTCGAGTTCTGATTGTAGTTACCATACTGTTGTGGCTGGTTCATTTCATTCGCATGTGGATTGTAATTATCTTGCACACGACCATTTCTGAAATTGTTTCGTGCACCTTGATTATACGAATTTCCTTGGTTGTAATTATCGTGGCCTGTTCTCATTGGTTCTCCTCTGCTATCTCCTCCAAAAGGTTGCCTGTTATCTGACATCAGTGGCTGTGTATTATCATTCATAAAAGGCTGTCTGTTGTCTGACAGCAATGGCGGTCTATTATCGGACATGAAAGGCTGCCTATTGTCAGGCACTAATGATCGTATATTTCCTGACATTTGAGGTTGCCTATTGTCGCCCAGTAAAGGCCCTCTATTATCTGACATTTGCGACTGCCTATTGTCGCCCATTAAAGGTCGTATATTTTCTGACATTTGCGACTGCCTGTTGTCGCCCATTAAAGGCCGTATATTTCCTGACATTTGAGGTTGCCTATTGTCGCCCAGTAAAGGCCCTCTATTATCTGACATTTGCGACTGCCTATTGTCGCCCATTAAAGGTCGTATATTTTCTGAAATTTGCGGCTGGCTGTTGCCGCCCATTAAAGGCCGTATATTTCCTGACATTTGCGGCTGTCTGTTGTCGCCCATTAAAGGCCGTATATTATCTGACATTTGAGGTTGCCTATTGTCACCCATTAAAGACTGTCTCTTATCTGACATTTGCGACTGCCTATTATCACCCATTAAAGGTCGTATATTTTCTGAAATTTGTGGCTGTCTATTATCACCTAATAAAGTTCTTCTGTTATCCGTCATTGGATACTGCCTATTGTCGGCCATTAGAGGCCTTAAATTATCCGATACTGGCGGCTGCCTATTGTCAGAAATTAAAGGCCGTATATTATCTGACATTAAAGGTTGTCTGTTATGCATTATAGGGGTTCTATCGTGATTTTGCATGTTTTGGTTCATGTTCTGATTGTACATCTCATTGCGATTGTTTCTATTATCTCCAAAGTTAGTTTGGTTTTGAGGTGTTCGGAGCAAACCACCTTGGTTGTTGTAAAGTGGTTGCTGGTTTTGATATACGGCAGGTTGTTCTAGTGCCATTTGATTCGGCGCCACATGGGATATGAGAGGTTTTACAGGTTCCACATTTACAGCGGGCGGATCTGGCTTATCTCCAAACAACCTGGGCAGACTGTTGCTAGTTACTACTTCTGCCGCTTGACTACTTTGAGTTGGCTTAGACTGCGAAGTTGATTGTATCGAAGCCTGAACCAACGCTAAAAGGTCGGCGGCTGATGATATATTCTTCATAATGTTTATACTTGGGTCCACTTGCATGGGTTCTACTTCCATTACTGGGTCTTCTTCAACCGACTTTGTTTCTTCCAATGACTTTTTAACGATTTCCATTTCCTGCTGAATTTGATTTTCTTTCACCTTCTGTGTTGCAGACTTGAACACCTGCAGTGATGGAAAATAACAAATATTACATAGTTTACTAAAATTTATACTTAACAGAAATGCTATTGTTTTGGGAAGTTAAAGATAAGTGTTATTAACATTGCGAGTGGCTAAAGATATTCCTCAACGCAATCTGATGTTATTAACATAGATGTGAGTGACTAAAGATATTACCCCGACAGAACCCGATTTTATTAACTTTTTTTTTTTATAGGATAAGGGTGACAAACGAGCACACAGTCCCTGATGGTAAGTGGATGCTGTGGCCCATAAACATCTACATTTGATTAAAAAGCAAAATGCTGATGCATTGTCACCCCTGAGGACTAAGTTGGAATGCCTCGATCCCAATAAAACTGGTCTCCGGTTCTCTACACTCACCATACGAAACACAGCAGCATTAAGCTGCTATTTTACGCTGGTTTTCTGTGATTGCATGGTCCTTCCCTGGTCGAACCGACCCATTCATGCTACAACCATAATATAGCTGCAGCGTGGCTCTACCTCTGGATAAGAGTGAGTAAAGATATTATCCCAACGAAATCCGATGTAAGAATCTTAGATGTGAGTGAGTTAAGATATTACACCGACGAAACCGGATTTATTTATTTATTTATTCTTTTTTGTACACCACAATACAGAAACATCAATATAGTTAAAACTAATTAAAGTATGTACAATAGGCGGTCTTATCACTGAAAGTGATTTCTTCCAGACAACCTTTGCGTAGAGGAATGATGCAAACAAAAGTTACAAATATGCCCCCCTCGGGCATACAAAATAATAAAAAAAATACAATAACACATACAAATAAAAGTAAGTGAAAGTTATATATAAAATATCATATAATAGATTAAATGAAAAGAGTAAGAGAAAGGTAAAGTAATTTATCTAATAGCGTTCTAAATAATATGATTTAACAAGAATTTTGAAAGAGTGAAGAGATTTAGCACGACGAATATGGAGAGGTAAGGAGTTCCACAATCGCACAGCGGTTACGGTGAAGGATTTCTTGAAAAAGGAAGAAGAGTGCAACGGTGTAGAGAGAGAAAGATTGATGGAGGATCGAAGGAACCGATTATGGGTAAGAGAAAGATACTGGAAACGGTTTTTTAAATAAAGAGGAGTAGAAGGATTAAATGTTGTTACTAACTTAAATGTGAGTGAATTAAGATGTTACCCCGACGCAATTCGATGTTATTAATTTAGATGAGAGTGAACGAGACCTACCTACATCCACATCAGTTGTTAGTTATATGAGCTGTATATGGCCTGTATGCCATTATTACCGGAAAGAATAGGTAATAATTTGTTGTGTTTGTTTAGTTATTTCGGTTACTCTGATATTTCCACCTTGAATACACACCATTCCCTTTTGAAATAATTGACAAAATAATTTCGAGTCTTTCTTGATTACTATACGAAAGTGACGGGGAAAAATTATTTATTAACGATTAGAACTTTCGCCGAAATAAATAATTTACACGATGTAAAACAAGAAAACCTAATTTCTCATAGGAAATAACTAATTAATTTGCTGTAAATGGTACTAAAATACGTCAAATAAAAAAGTAAAAAGAAAATAGCTGAAAATTTTTGAAGATTACATTTTACTGCTTTTAACTGCCTCAATACATTTATTGACGACTGCCTCATTTATTTAGTGGTCGTAAGCGCGATTAATGATGATGAGGTCCCAGTTCGAATCCTGGGTCAAGCCAAAATCAGTCATCGGAGTCAGGAAGTTAGCGGTGTTTCACACCTGTACCTCAGAAAGCACTAAAAGTCGTTGGTCCTGCGCCTGATATCTCTCCAGTCGTATCTCATTACCGTCTTATCGGACTTTCAGTGCTCCTGTACTTGCGTATACACTCATACACAGTAATCCGGTTCTGTGCAGAGCATTAGTATATGTTGAGACTGGCCACTCTCAATTCGGTCTGGAGGACATTATTATTACTACATTTTACATAAGGAAAGAAATGTGTTGAGATGAAATATTGGTAACTTACTTCTTCAACAGTGTAATCGTCATCATCGCTTTCAATGGCGACAGGCTCGTTCTTTTCTTGTTCCTTCTGCGGGTATGCGTTTACGGCGGCTGCGCTCACGAATTGCCTCAGCTTCTCAACTCGCTGAGGCTCGCGCACCTCCAATTTCTTGAGGTACGCGATAAGGCTGTGCTGCTCTTCAGCTGACAATTCATTAAAATTCTTCAGCAAGGTTTCTAAATCCGAGTCTGATAGCCCGTCCATAGCATCCGTGGTGTCTTCCTTTTGTACAGGTGCGCTGAGAATAATGAATTAAATTAAATCATTTACTATACACATTGACTCATGATCAGTCAGTCCCTCATAACATGCTTGTCAGAAAAATAATTACGATCATTGTACCAAGTTTCTCGCACCTTTGACGCTGTTTCCCGTCCTCCCCGATAGTTTGAATCTGGTATACATAAACGAAGTGGATATACCATCATCTATGGCAGACTGCATTTTCCTATATTGCCTTTTACAACACCCACAGGAAAACGAAGGATGAGGGATTAATTTTCTTAATATGATTAAATATTTTTAAAAGAATAAGGATGACAAACGACCACACAGTCCACCTGATGATAAGTGGATGCTGTGGCTCATAGACCTCTAACATCATCTTCGATTAAGAATCAAAATGTGGATGTGTCGTGACACCTGAGGACTAAGGTGGAATGCCTCGTTTCCAATAAAAAGGTGTATCCGGTTCTCTACACTCACTATAAGAAACACAGCAGCATCAACTGCCATTTTCGGCTGGTATTTTGTGAGAGTGTGGTCCTACCCCAGTCGAACTGAACCATTTGTGCTACAACTATAATATAGTTGCAGCATGACTCTACCACATTAATGACCAGAATGTATTTAAAATCTAGTTATGTATTACCGGCGGCAGGAATTAATAACAAATATCACATAAATGTTACAATAATAACATACATTAAAATTTTGGTGCAAAGGTGGTATTATGATGCTGAAGCATAGTGACCACAACAAATCTCTCAATTTAAAGAGATTACTATAACCATTAATTATATATTTACTGCCTAATTATGATCAATTTTAAGTACAAATCGCGGCAAGAAAGCCTAGCGGTGACCGTTATTGCGCATTATTGCGTATGATTGACTGTGCGTATCGTTCGCACGCGCTGATTGGCTCTCCAGTCGCATTCCGTCCTCCATACTGATACGACATTGGTAGCTATCCCCTCCACGTTTCGTTCAGCGCTAGAGTTACGTGTTGCGAGTTGTAGGGATTAAAAGGTCAGGATGATAGATATAAGCCATTAAATTACTAAAAATATTTTACTTACTTTTTGTCATCATAAGCCGACTGCAGCATCTGCAGAGCCGATGCGGTACCAGTGACTTCAGCAGGCTTTGGTTTAGCTGGAATGGGAGCCGGATTGAAGGTTTCAGCCTGCTTTTTTGCCTGTACTTCACGTTTCTTTGCTTCAGCCATTCCAACCTAGTAAAATATAACAATAATTGTGAATTAAATAAGCTTTAAAAAAAGAAAATGGTTAATAAGTTGGATGTCACCTATGTGTCATCACTATCTTTTTTAGAGGGTGGCTTTTTCGGTGGAGATATTGTTTTGTTAATATTACAGACCATAAAACTAAAACCAAAATGACCCAATACACAGCTCTCTTTTCGGGCAATCGACCTAAATAATTACATTGGGTTATGTTCTAATATTGGCCCCAACATTGCTTGGAGTTATAGCTGATTGATGTTGAATATTAAGAAGTGGGGAATAAATGCAGGAAAAGAGTCCTACAAACTATTTTTCTGTCTATACCTAACCGGATGGGTCGCTAGATAGAGAGCAGTTTATCTTAGCTGTGTAAGTGACATAAGGTGTATTATCTATTTTTAAATTAAGATGAGAAATCGGTAAATAGTTCATCTGTTAGTATGTGGATACTGTATCCTATAAACATCTACATTTATCCACAATAAAGAATCAAAATGCATTGTCATCCCTGGGGGTCTACAATGTAATGCTTTATTTTCACTAAAAAGGGGTTTCGGTTACACTTAGAGCGCGACAACTTAGGGTCGAGCCGACCTATTCATGGCACCATGATATATCTACAACGTAACTATCAGACATATAAAAGGTTTCAATAGACTTAACAGTCAAGTCTTTTTAAAGAGTATTTTTCTGTTTGAGCTAGTGGGCTGGTTAGTGGAACATGAATGTTTTGGATGGGATGAAATAGTGCGGGTACTGACGACGGCGTCGACGAGCTGCGCCAGCTCCTCGGGCGAGACGTCGGTGCGGCCCTCGGCCACGAGCGCGGCCGCAATCTGCGCCGCGATCTCCGCGCGCTCCACCGCGCCCACGCCCGCCACCGGCAGCGTCGCGCGCCCGCCGCCACTACCGACACCACCACTACCGACACCACCCCCACCGCCACCGCCACCGCCACTCTTCTGCAACACGCACATGTAATACTATATTATTTGTAATAACACTACACACGACTGCTGAACATAAGTTTCACCCATATTTTGTCTCATAAGGAGGATATTTAGCACATTAGCTACGCTGGGTAGGTGGGTTGGCAACCGAACTCTCTATTTAATAATTTTACTTAAACCTTAACTTTGGAATGACGAGAGAGAGAAATAAACCAAATATGATAAAATTCCGCCGATGAAAAAATCTATGGGAAAGACCTATGTATTCAGCAATGTAGATTTAAAAGAGTATTTTGAAATAATAATTAACATCTATATAATATCCAAAACTAAATGATTTTGGTTTTGAAAATTACAACCAATACGTTTCTGAAAAGATTCTGAAAATCACAACAACAAATAATACATCCCTTTGCTAGGCAAAAGCCTCTTTTCAGAAAAGGTTATGTAGTAATTAGTCTGCGTAATATTTATATTCTACTTAAAAGCAATCTAAACTAAATAAAAAAGTGACAGTGTTGCAATAATCGTATATCCTGCTTATTACTATAGTGGCAAAATATCACTAAGGTTAATGTCATCAAATTTGAACAAATTAAAGGAACATAGTTAATATAGCATTCACTTTCAGCTCACTCTTACTCTATAGTTGATAAAAGATAGCTTGATCTCTGCGACAGCTGTCAGTAAAATCACGCCTGTAAAGTCCTGAATTTCTTAGTAGTACAGACAGTACCTGTCAATGTCATACTTTATGGGCATGCCCATGAAGTATGCAAATGCATCAAGCTATCTTTTACGAACTATAGTACGAAAACGGGTCATTTCGAATTATTGCTACTGCTCACGTTAGAGAGAGCTGAACTCACGTTAGAAAGAGCCGTGGTAGCTCAGATGATTAACGCTCGCTGTAAATACAACAAAACGCGAGTAACCCGGGTTCGATCCCCGCCGGCACCAATGAAATTGTTAATTGCAATTTTAAGTACTGATTTATCACGTGCTCGTAGGTGAAGGAAAACATCGTGAGGAAACCTGCATGTCTGAGGAATAAGAAAAAAAAATTTAGGAAGACATGTGAAGTTCGCCAACACGCATTGTAGCAGCGCGGCGGATACTTCCTTGCCCTGAAACCCTCTCAGAAATGAGGGGAGGCCTGTGCCCAGCAGTGGGACGTATATAGGCTGTAACTTTACTTTTTCTACCTTACTAATGCTCACATTACCGTACTGTTCTAAAATTGGCGGTGTCTCCGGCGGAAGTCAAAAGAACGAAGCGTAAAAGTTTACATACTATACTCTCTTCAGTCTAAAGGTGTAACTCCACGTTCTATTATATACACTTCGCAAATAAACCTTCACAAGAAATCGTTTTGGCTCATATTTATATTTAATATTAACATTTTTTGACATTGTGGAATTTTAATTTGAACTAAAGATTTTATATGAATATAGACTTAAGATACGTAAACCAAAATAGCTAAGTATATACACTACATCACTTTTGACCAACAGCATGATTAAGGTGAACATGTATCATATGTAAACATTCACTGTTTTTGATTCTTCCACAGAATTACATAATTCAGTAAAGTTTATACTGCAGCGCGAACAGCAACTGTATTGGCTGATGCAAGCTCTGAAAACAGCCTAATTTTTTTCACCTTTAAAATTCTTTAATCGACGTAGTTTGGCAAAAATGATCCAATCTACAAAAACAGTAAGGTAAAAAGTTCAGTTATTTACAAGAGGACTTTACGCTTGTATTGTTTATCTGTATATATGTATACACAACAAATTCCTATGGTCGTAAATTGGATCGTTCCCGCTAAAGCGCGTCCGTTAATGTGAATTTACGTGAATATTCGAGTTGGGTCCTCGTCGGGGACGACGTCGCGTACGACAGCGCTTGCGGCGCGGACCGACGCCGGGCGCGGCCCCGGTCGCACCGCTGGCAGCGGTTGCAGCGCTGGCAGCGGCTTCCGAGCGTACCTGCGCTCTCTTCGCGCGCAAATCGGCCTCGTGCAGCGTGGCAGCCACGCGGACGACGGCCGCACGGACCGCGTTGGCCGCGCTACCAGAAACCAGCCCTGCTTGCACTGCACCTTTCAGTTTCTCCTTAGCGGTCTCTAGTAAAGCCACCACATTTTCGCGCTCAAGTAGTTCCTCTGACGAATTCGCTTTTTCCTGTAATGTAACTTTCATGAATATAAGTTATCTAAGTGACATTTTCGTTATAGCCTATCAATCTTTTACAGAAGAGGCCCATGTCCAATATATTAGAATGCTTCATTTATACATGTAAATAAAATTTGAAGTATTTGTCTTTAATATCGAAATAACCGTCTTTTATTAAACTGAAGGCGCAATTTGCATGCTCTTAAGACATGAATAATAATTCTTAAATTTTTTTGCCTATTTATCTATCTGTTTATCTGTCCAGACTAACGTTCGGAACGGATGGATTGATTGTAATATAACTAAACATACAGATAGAGGAGCAATGCCCGGAGTGATGTAGGTTACATTTAATCCGAAAGAAGGAGACTATTTTCTTGAAAAACCGAAAAATTTGTAATATAAATGTTTTATGCTGATTATCTCAAATGTAAATAACCCCACATAGATTTTAGTCGAGGCCGGGGCGGGTGGCTAGGTATGATTAAAAAGGGTCTCCAGTTTTAGTTTCTAGCTATATGAAACACATCAGAATCAAATAGCTATTTTACATTGGCTAATATAACAATCATCGTCATCATCATCACAACTTATAAAAGTCCAGTGCTGGACATAGGCCTCCCCCATAATTGCCTCATAGGGGGGATTTTGCCACACTTGGCAAGCGGGTTGTCAACAGTAGTTTTTTGTTACTGTAGAGTTGTTATCAGGAAAATGCTGCTGCCATCACCAATAGCAATGCAATAATTTAAATACATATATCTTTTGTTTACTATTGTGACATATTCATATGTACATTTTTACATGGTAGAGCCATGTTACAGCTATATTAGTAGTATTGTTGTAGCACGAATGGGTCGACTCGACCAGGGAAGGACCACACTCTCACAGAAATAGTAGCTTAATGCTGCTGTGTTTCGTATGGTGAGTGTAGAGAACCGGAGACCCTATTTACTGGAAACGAGGCATTCCATCTTAGTCCTCAGGGGTGACAACGCATCTGCATTTTGATTTGTAACCGAGGATTGATGTCATTAGGTGGACTGTGTGCTGGTTTGTCACCCTATCCTATAAAAAAAAAACATATATATTATATGAGTTACCTTCTCCATCTTGAGTGCTTCGGTGAGCAGGTCAATGATCTTGGGCCCGAGGCTTCCGAGATAGTCTTCGAGTGCGACGAGAAGTCGCACAGTGGCGACCACGTTGTCAGCGGAGCCGTAGTCGTGCGGCGCGGGCGAAGAACGGGTGGCGTGCGTGGAGTGCACGGAGTGCGCGGCGTGCGGCGCGTGCAGACGAGGCCGCGAGCGGGAGCGGTGCGACGCCACGCTACCGCCACGCGAACGTATGTCAGCCACCGATACCACCGACTCGATTTCGTTGTCAGAGTTCCACGGCGAAAGCCCGTCGTCACTGTAACCAACAAATAATGAACAAAAACATTTTTCTTTAACACTGTCAATGAACCCATTTAATCACATGATAAGTATTTGTCGTAGTCGCTACGCTTGGAAGACGAATTGAGGATAGAAAGCATCTCGTTTCTTTGACGCTACTCTTCTACGATTTTATATCCGACATATGAAAATTAATTATCAATTTTATATTTTAATTAAATAATTTATCACTATACATATTAATGTCGATACAAAAAAAATGGTTTCAAATTATATATAATTAATTATGAATTGATTAAAAGTTATAAAAAATCAAAAATTATCACATGAATATTTGACACGTCATTACGTTAAAGCATTGTCATCAGCTCTGGTCTGTATACATAAAGTTATAACTATATAATTACAACGAAAAAAAAAAAATAAACAATAGTTTTGTTACAATACTTTTGTGACCTATCGATTTGTGACAAGAAAATTTTATTTTATCAAAGAATCAATTTAGGTTAAAACGACATCACCGATGGTCAAGAGATCTTACTGGCGTTAAAATGTGCGTGCTCAGACCGAGAAGCTTCGTACAAGTCAGCTTTACAGCAGTGTACACGCAGTGTTTTACACTCGTCTTCAATTACATTTGAGATCAAACTAAAAGATAGCACAGGCGATTTTAAAGTGTTGAAAATGTTGCAGATATATTAATATTAATAGAGTTGGAAAACCACTACAAGCAAAAAAGATCTAAAATGTATGCTTAATTAGCAACCAGATGAAGTCGCGACGGCACAAATAAAATTGTTCATTGCAATTCAAATTCCCAAGCGCATGATACATTGTAAACAGACATGGTGGAGTGTACATTTTTAACGACTACAGTATCACACTCAGACCACTTTATTTTACAGTCACTATATTCTTTTACCATTGCTACCCAAGATTGTAAAATTAGAAAACGATCCGAATCAACACAGATGGAAAGTTGAAGTACGAGTGCACTTGAATTTCTGGTTGCCATGATACGAGTAGTAACAGAGTATTTACCCCTTGTGGACTCAGTTTAGGAATACTCTAATCTGGTCAACACAGTTTAAATGGCCGAAAGTCAAAAGTATTCATATCATTTTAAATTTTAATTAATTGCGCGGCAGATGCGCGTCCAGACTTCAACCAAATAAAATTCTTATTTAGAGGCTTTGTTCAGTTAGTTTTAGACAAATCAATAAACTGTTAACTTTATAATATGTTTGTGGTCGAATTTTTTTTAAAGATTACATTAAATACATACCAGAACCGCGCTTCTGTGACTGAATTTCGGTGTGGAAAAAATATTAGGAATTATATTAAATTTAATTCCAGAGTGAGGACATCAATGCCGAACTGCTCGGGCTGGGAGCGCGGCTTTTCAAAGATTCCCAATAGGTGCGTTTGGCAGAAAAAAGCGCTAGCAAACGCTTGTAAGCAAAATGGCGAAACTAATCAGTTTTCGGCCAGGACACGTTTGCTAACTTCAGTAGCGCTGACACAATCCGCCATTTTGCTTATTTAATTTGTTCGTTTTGAAGTAGAGTTTATAAGTTGTTTTGTGCAATATTAGTTTTAAGTAATATAATGACATGAATAAACATATACATGTTACTAAAAATTCATGATTGGTAAGTTTTTAATATGAATAGTTTACAAACATATATTTAAATTAGATTAGGTTCACCGGATAAAACTAACTTCGTGTCCTAGAGGAAAATAGCTACTTAGGATTTGACAGCGCTTACCGCTTACGATCGCTATTTTGCTTACAAGCGCTTGCTAGCGCTTTTTTTTGCCAAACGCAGTCTATGTACACGCGCTTATAAACCGCTGTGTTGACAGCTGGGGGAAAGGGTGACCTCTGACTGGATAGCTACCAATAGTACTAATGGTGGTTAATATAGCGCATAACGCCATATTATAGCGCGCTATCTCTCCATAACATATAGCGCGTGCTATGTAAGTAGTCGCCATGGCGCTATTGCGCTATGGCGCTTGGGCTTTGGCGCTATGGCGTTTTGGCGCTATGGCACTTTGGCGCTATTCAGTATTAAATATCTATCGGCAACTAGTTCTAGCAGCAGCGCTGTTGGGAGAGGACGTGTGACGCAAATTTGATCTAGTAGCACGCTATTCATCGCGCGACCAATTACCCGATAATTTAGTGTTAAACGTTGTTTAGTTAGTGTATACTGTATATTTATAAGTGATCGAAGGACACAGTTGTCTGCTATAAAAGAAGCCTAACTAATGTTTTCAAATGTAAATAAAATATAGATACAAAAATTTATATAATAGTGTATGTAAATAGTTGATTTTTATAAATACAATCAACAAACTTTTAAATACACACAGTTATTTGATTTATAATTTATATTAAGGTTAAAATAACGTTTACATCAACTATAATAAAATAACAAAAAATAATTTATTTTATTTCGTTTTAAAAAGTACATGCTTTAAAAATATTTTTAGGATTGTAGAAAGTCGTAAGGCTGAAAAGTATGAAAAAACGTTCATTGGTTTTTTACCGCTTTATTTTATTTTAGTCTAAAATGCGAAATAATGTTCTTATATAGCACGCGGTCTATCCAATGAACGACATGTAGTGTAACGTGCTACGAGATATAGTGTGCTGCAAAACTTAACGCGCTTGCCGGCCTCCTACACGCTTTATATATAGCGTATTTAATAGCGCGCTAGCAATTTATAATTTATAGTCTGTAGCGCGCTATTGATTTATAGTCGTTTTGAAGAACTTTAAATAGTACTCACGGCTTGAGCTCGTCGTCGGAGATGAGCACGGTCTGCATGGAGGGCGCGGTGGCGTGCGGGCTGCTGTTGCGTGCTGCGGCGCGCTGGGATAGCGGGCTCGTGCGTCTGATACAAAATACAATACAATAATTTATATTAGTGATTAAACGATACCGATATGAATGACAAACACACTGTAATTTGTATTACGATTAAAGCGAAAGACGTATTTTATTTTCATGAAACTTTTATTTTAATTTAATATTAAATTAAAAGTTTTTTAAAAAATATAAAATTATTAAGTTTTCGCCCGTTAGGCTATTTTTTTATCCGTATTGAAAAAATCCGTATTGTAAAAAATAAGCTGTGAATAAAGATCTATTATAAAAGCATAAATTGCAATGAACTATGAGAACAAACACCGGGAACAAAATCTGAATATCTTTTACGCCCAACACTGTCCCACAATGTGAGGCGTAAAAGGCACAGAATACCTCACCTGATGGTGAGTGAATGCTGTGGCCTGATAAATATTCACATCTACCCTCGTTTAAAAATCAAAATGTGGATGCGTTGTGTCACACCCACGGAGGTTAGAGAACAGGAGAACGATCGTCGTAGAAAATAGTGTCCCAGAAATATGGACACCATTAGTGAGGCGCTGCGATCACTAAGTTCGCTCAATAAAAGTAATTTTCAGTCTATTTTTTCGATCAGATGCTAAACCATTTGCACATCCACGCACAACAAAATATTTCTCTATTTTTTAATGTTTCTTTTTGTCAAAAATTACAAAATTACGGAGCATGAAAATTTTCTCACCAATGCCACGAAGAAAATTTGTACATTATTCAACTAACTTCATCTACTTGTACTCATAAACAGCTAACTTCGCAGTCACTACTCGCCGACGTTAGCGCCGCTATAAATTCTACAACTTTCAAGGACAGGCGGGCTATGCTTTAGTACGTAGCGATCGTTCTCCTGTTCTTTAACCTCCATGGTCACACCTGAAGACTAAAATAGACTGTCTATATACCAGTAAAGAGTATCATATTTTATAGTCATACGAAACACAGTCAATCAAAACTCAATTAAAACAACTCTTTTTTTAAATATAATAGTTAAATAAATAAAAAAGTTTCTTATTTACTTAACACATGATTAACCTCAAGTATTTTCTTTTTTTAATTTGGCACAATAGTATAATACAAGAAAAACCAAAGGATTATAGTTAACTTAAACTATTTGACATGCCAACTTTGAGCGTTAACACCACTACACAATCTAAATAATAAGCCGATCAAACACTCTAACTCAGACTTAAAAATACAAGGTGGCCCATAAGTCGTTAGAAATGTAAATTTCGAATAAAATACAAAAGGCGCGCATGAGTGGCGCGCGCAGTGCGGGGGGAGTACCGACGGTTTCTGGGAATTCAGTCGCCATGGAGCGTTTCACCGGTGCGGACCGTGCATTTTATGTGCGCGAGTTTTATCGAAACAATGATTCGGCTACCATTGCGCGGCGTAAATTTCGAGAATATCAGAATTTATGCAACTTTAAAGACATTCCAAGTATTCAAACGATTAAGGACTGGGTTATTAAGTTCGAAGAGAGTGGTTCGACGTTGGATAAACAACGGTCAGGTCGACCAAGGACATCACGGACGGAAGAAAACATCGATGTAGTGAAACACTCAATTCGTGAAAATCCTACCCAGTCTACTCGTAAGCGTTCCAGTGCATTAAACTTACCCAGGACATCGTTACAGCGAATTTTAAAGAAAGATTTACATCTTCACCCGTACAAAATTCAGATAGTACAGGAATTAAAAGATACTGACACTATCCACAGACTAAATTTCGCAAATGAAATGTTGAACCGCTTTACTTCGTTTAATAACGTGTTATTCTCTGATGAGGCTCACTTTCACATCAACGGCCATGTCAATAAGCAAAATTGTCGCTACTGGAGTTGCGAAAATCCATATCGCAAACATCAAAAGCCCTTACATAGCCCTAAAGTGACAGTTTGGGCGGCTATGTCAGCGCATGGCATTATAGGCCGTTACTTTTTTGAGGACGGCAGAGGCCGCGCGCTTACTGTTACTTCACAACGGTATGTAGCTATGATCCAGGACTTTTTTACACCAGAGTTGCAGAATTTTCCAGGCTTCAATACGCGGACCTGGTTTCAACAAGATGGAGCAACTGCCCATACCTCTAACGTCGCTATGCCGGTCGTCCGTCAACTTTTCCCTAATAAAGTGATCTCTCGAAGAGGAGATATTCCTTGGCCACCACGTAGTCCAGATCTGACCCCAATGGAATTTTTCTTATGGGGTTATCTTAAGACTAAAGTGTACGAAACCAACCCGCGGACAATTGACGTCCTGAAAGAAAATATCCAAAGAGAAATGGCAAACATTACAGAGCTTACTTACCGCGCAGTGATGGATAATTTTAAACGTCGCTTACAGGAGTGCCGCGATCGTAGCGGATTACATTTAGATGATGTAATTTTCAAAAAATAATTCCCATTTTATAAGGATTATGACAAAATAAAAACCTTTTTCATAATGTCATTAGCTTTTTAAATTATTTTTTTACATTTCAAGGGACTTATGGGCCACCCGGTATTAAGAGGGAGACCATTTCAATATTTGTGAACAAATTATATTCTGAATGACCAATTTTTTTTACATTTTACAAGACATAATACTTTAGAAAGCTTTGCTGGAAGAAAAATAAATAGTGAAATAAATTTAGCACAAATTTTTAACCATGTTAAGGGTATATGCAGTATTTTTTTTTATTATAGGTTGATAAAACATGAATTATAAAAGTCCATCTTATGTACCTCTGAATTGGGCTCCTGGAGCGATGCGGGTTGTGGGAACGCTCCGGAGTGGGGCGATGCGATAGGGACCTATTGTCACAATGTGATATTAATGTAACCACTAAAACCAATATTCACACACACGTACGTTCGATCACAGATACGTACGTGTACGATCTAAAAAAATATAAATGCAGGCACACATTTATAAAACTGATTTGATAACCATGCAAAAAAAAATGAGCAACATGACTCAAAGACTTTTTTCTGCTTCTAATTTGTACATGTTATTGTTATTTTACTTGTAATATTCCATTAAAATATCACATTTTTGTTCCATTATACGATGTATAAATTTTATATCCCCGAAACTCTTCACCGCTGCTTTTCAAGCTACTGGACTGGAAAGGATATGGTATTAACATCAATGGCGAGTACATCACTCACCTTCGATTTGCCGACGATATAGTCCTTATGGCAGAATCGCTGGAGGACTTAAGCACTATGCTCAATGACCTCAATTGTGCCTCCCAACGGATAGGTCTTAAGATGAACATGGACAAAACAAAGATTATGTTTAATGTCCATGTCACACCTATGCCGGTAATTGTTGGGAGCACTATGCTCGAAGTTGTTGACGAGTACGTTTACCTGGGACAAATAGTCCGACTAGGTAAGTCCAACTTCCACCGAGAGGTCAATCGACGGATTCAACTCGGCTGGGCAGCGTTCGGGAAATTACGACATATCTTCTCGTCAGGTATACCTCAATCTCTAAAAACTAGATTGTACAACCAGTGCGTGTTGCCAGTGATGACTTACGGATCTGAGACGTGGTCCTTCACTGCTGGCCGTATGAGGACGCTCAAGGTCTCTCAGCGAGCTATGGAGAGGGCTATGCTCGGAGTTTCTCTGCGTGATAGACTCAGAAATGAGGATATCCGCGGTAAAAACCAGAGTGACCGACATAGCCCAACGGATTAGTAAGCTGAAGTGGCAATGGGCCGGCCATATAGCTCGAAGAACCGATAACCGATGAGGAAGAAAGGTTCTCGAGTGGCAGCCTCGTACCGGTAGGCGTAGTGTAGGGCGACCCCCCACTAGATGGAGTGACGACCTGGTAAGATATGCAGGAAGTCGATGGATGCAGGTGGCTCAGGACCGTGCTTTGTGGCATTACTTGGGGGAGGCCTATGTTCAGCAGTGAACTTGTGAAGGGCTGTAATGATGATGATGATGATGATGATGATGAAAAGGACAACATCAACACTTTGAATAGGTACTTAACTAGAAAGAATAAAAACTATTTAACATTTGTTTTCAGACATCGTTACCTTTTATCACGTTGAAATTCAGGCGGTGTCCGCCTTCTTTCTGGGGTCCTATGCCTTAGAAGAGGTGATTTTCGCTTGAGCGGTGATTGACGTCTATTGTAATCAGGCGTGCGTCTTCTGGGATCGGGCGATCGCCTTCTCGGATCTGGAGATCGCCTCCTGAGGTCCGGTGAGCGCCTTCTAGGATCTGGCGATCGCCTCCTAGGGTCAGGAGATCGCCTCCTAGGGTCAGGCGATCGCCTCCTAGGGTCAGGTGATCGCTTCCTAGGGTCTGGCGATCGCCTTCTAGGGTCTGGCGATCGCCTTCTAGGGTCAGGTGATCGTCTTCTGAGGTCAGGCGATCGTCTTCTGGGGTCAGGCGATCGTCTTTTGGGGTCAGGAGATCGCCTTCTGGGGTCAGGTGATCGTCTTCTAGGATCGGGAGATCGCTGCTTAACAAGAGGCGAGCGACTTCTGGCATTAGGGGATCGCTTTTTGACACTAGTAGACCTGCGCGGCTCAGGGGAACGCTTCTTCACCTCGCAAAAGCTCGTTATCTCAGGCATCGGTAGACACAATTTGCGATACAGTTCCGTGACATTAACGCGCAACTCCTCGTCGTGCAGCTCCTTCATGCGGATTGTCCAGAAGGCTATCCACTCTGGTTTGAAGTCATGTTTTGCCGGATCTTTGCCCTCTGTAATATGTTGAAATGATTATGTCTGCACACAAAGTCTTCATGCAAAGTGAAATCTATGTAGGATATTGTTGATGCAGTTGATGATAATGAGGATGATGTTCAGCTGTGAACTTTTGTAGGCAGTAATAATTGAATCCCATCATTCATAGTGACTCAAGTTTAAAACTGAAAACAAAAACATTTTAGGGTAGTCCACTAATATTCTTAGTTCGTTGATTATTAAATATACAATAGGATAATATTTCCTATATATAAGAAAATTACAAAGTTACCTTTGATTTTCGGCTATTTTAGTTTTGTTATGAATAGAGTGCAGATTTTAGTGACAACAATCAAACAGATGTATACTACCATAGAAATCGTAATAATAAGACAACAGAAATGTATTAGCGCTCGAATACTTCCAAAACTAATGTCGCCAGATCTTACTGTATTATAAACACACGCAATGAACAACGATATGTAATGTTTCACATTACATTGCTTGGCGTGATTATGCTGCAGTGCAACCATTATAAATTTATAACAACAAAAATTCACGTACAACGTTCCCCGCACAACTAAATCACAAAATGGTGAATTATGTTCGTCAACCCATATAAGCGGCGACAAGGTCACACGTCTATGCGACTTCTATTGTCTTATTATTACTCTACGTCTACGTACGTCTTATTATTACTACGTCTTTAAGGTTTTTTTTTAAATTTGCTTCCATTTATAGTTTGTTTCAGCAGAGAATAAAATTCATATTTTTATCCTCCGCTGAAATAATGAATGTATGGCAATATCATACTTATTCATATTTATATATTTTCTATAAAAAAACACAAAAAAAATTTGTTGACATTTTGTAATGAGGGCTAAATAATTTTCCGTTCACTAGATGTCGTTGGTTGGGACTGAGGTGAAGTTTTTTGTTACATAGTGTCATATAATTGAGAAGTGGTTTCTAAAGTATTATATAAATACACAAAACCATGCCTTAGTGGTTTGTTCCATATCATTAATCATATTTTTTAAACTTTTTTTTATTTTTCTACTTTTAGGAATATCAGTAAGCTTGGTTTATGATTTTCTAATGTAATTAAGAGTGTATATTCAAATTTGCGCAAGTCAAAATCGCTCTGGAATCACACTACAACGTTCTCTGTGTGCGTAACTGCTCGAGGTGGGGCGAGCGCAAGGTTACTATAATAGTATCCACAGATTTTTGCATCTAGCACGCATCATCTTGATACTATTGGAACTAAAAGAATGAAATAATTTCCACATAATAGCTTATGAGGTGGTAGCTAGGACATAGTGTATATGAGAATTAATATCCGATCTAGTTCTGACATGAGAAGTTAATATGTATAAATTATTTTATTCTTGTAGTAAATTGAAGTCGGCTTTTCTTTTTTACTCTATTGAGTAAGTAGACTAAGGAATCTCACAACGCCAAGTTAGTTAAGAACTAGAAAGGGGTAAGTAATATATGTTCGAATTGAAAAATGTGTATTATATAAAACAGATTTCGTTCGATATACATTTATTCTGTATCATAATGTAAAGATAATTTATCTAAATAACAATTTCATTGGTATCGGCGGGGATCGAACCCGGGTTGCTCGCGTTTACGGCGAGCACTTTGCCCTTGAGCTACCATGGCTCATATCCGTTTTGTTTCTATTTTATAATAACGTTATCTCCACACTAAGAATGTTTCCTAAGTATATAGTGGAGGCAGTTAACATAAGAACATAAAATTTCACCAGGACAAACATCCTCACTCGGAACAATTATTTGTAGGTTTACAAATTTTTGTTCCGTGCGGGAATCGAACCCGCGGCCCATAGAGTTAAACTTATTGCTAAGCAACTCCGCCACGGTGCCGTCAAATATATATTTTGTAGGGATAAATATTTTAGTTATAAATTGCTTACTATTAAATAAATTTGAAAAATTATTAATAATTAATTTAAATAATATTATTTAACAAAGTATCATTCCCTACGTTGTGTAGCGCGAACTATTGTTTATCCTGTAGCTATGCGCCTTATCATCGTTTCCGATAGAGTGTCCATATAAAATCGGGAATTTGGTTTTAAAATCGGGACAATTACAATAGCTACAAAAAACAGATTTTTTGTAGCTATTGTGGTCGTTATTAGTTATACAGGTTTTTTGACACAATTCACAATGTGTTTTATAATTATTATATAGAACTGATCAAATTAACGAATCATTTTTGGTCCAAACATCGTTGAAGACTGAACTTTCTGAATAATATAACTGTGAAAATAGTAATAAATCTTATGAACTCACAATTCATGCACTTCAAAGAGCACTCTAAAAAAAGAACGGCATAGTTCCAACGGTTTTAATACTTCCTAATAAATCCTTGCATCGGACATATGTTACTTTATTTATTGAAAACAACAGTACCTGCAAACGATTGAAGAAATTGACTAGTGGAAGAACTTTTCCACAAGCCTTTTGCATTTTACTAAATGTACTTATCTAAGCAGTAGCATGTAAGTTAGATATTGTACTGATTATTATAAAGATGCATAGCGCAAACCGGCGATATGGAACCGGCAGTGACAAAAAAAACCAAGTAAACATGATTGATATCTGAATCTTGCCATGCCATCACATTATGCGCAAAGCAAACTTTGATGTTACCTATTTAGTCCAAGTTTGGTGGGAAAATATGCAAAGTCGGGCTTTAATGAATTATGATATATTCAATTTTGTTGTCTAGTTAGTGAAAATTTGGGACATTTGGCGTCCCGATTCATCATTGATCGGGACAAATCCCGCACAAATCGGGACACTTGGCAACACTAGCTTATGCTATCGGTGTGAATTAACACGTACGAGGGCTGTAGCGGGAAAAAGTGATACGACCTATCGTTGGGAAGACCCGGAGCGTACTGAATCGGACGGAGTCGGGCGTTTGCGCGTGATAATTTATAGTATTTATAAAATAATCATATAAAATAATTGACTAAATAAAACGATCAAAATTTTTTTTGGATATTTAATATTACCTGTATTTTGATAAAATTATTAAAATAGATAAGTTTATATCCCAATACACGGAAAAAATGACATTGAAGTAGACAGTTTTGGTGATTTTATAGTATTGTTTTTTAATATTAAATCGAAATATTTTCGTAATTTAAGCTTTGCTATACACTAAAAGTCTATATATTCTATTATAATAATGTTTAAAATAAAGTATTTTAGCTTATAATCATGGTTGTATTCCACCTGAAAGATAGCTCTGACGCATATTTTATTAAAACACTATGAAGGGATTGTCTTCGGTCTAAAAAACCGTCATTAAAAACTATGATTTTCCGTTGCAATGTACTAAATAAAGACTTTATATTTCTAAATCCGTAATTTTCTGCAAATAATTTGCTCACATCGTTACAAACATCACCCTTGAAAAAACCCTAAAATATGAAGTTTTCGACGCAAATAGCATATGCCCTCTTAATATAAAATTTTGCAAATATTACAGTAAGAAACATAAAACCATACATTTTCCTGACAAATTAACTAATTAATCTAACAAATTACATGGCGGGGAAACACCATGTAATTTGTTAGATTTCACGTGTGAATTCTAGTGACGCCGCCCTGGCAAAAATGTCGTGGATCATTATGATAAAGACAAAAGAAACAGAAAAAAAAAACATTAAAAAAGAAAGAATTAGAAATGTTGTTGTACACAAGATTCAGTTTAGTCAAAACTAACCAGCCTGTATTTCCTTGTAGCGTTTGTTCCAGAATTTCTTCCACTCCTCAGGATACAGCGGATGTTTCTCCGGATTCTTTTCGTGGTAAGCTAGAGTCTTCTTAGCGGCTTCTATTAAAGCCTGCTTCTTCTCTTCAGCTAGTTTCTCCTTGTATGTTTGATTTTGCGGTTTTGGCGCCTAAATATAAAAAGTCGATTTAATGACTGCCCAAATTGTAGCTTTACTTAAGACTAGACACGGACAATGTGAAGTGGTACGCAGACTTCATTAGAGTCGTTTAAAGGTGCTGCGGATATAACGCAAGTAACTGTATGTAGAGACTGGTACTTTTGTTCGGCGACCGGCAACCGGCAGACCACGAGCAACTACAGAACGTGACGACCGCTTTATTTTTTTATAGTAGAGGGGGCAAACGAGCATACGGCTCACCTGATGTTAAGTGACTACCGACGCCTGATCAACCGCAACACCAGGGGAATTGCAGGTGCGTTGCCGGGCCTTTAGAAAGCAGTAAGCTCTTTTCTTGAAGGTCCCCAGGTCGTATCGGTCCGGAAATTTCGCCCGGTGGTAAACTATTCCACAGAGAGGTTGTACGCGAAAGAAAACTCCTTTTGAAACGTACAGTGGTGGACCGCCAAGCATCCAGATGGTGTGGATGGTATCGGGACGTTTGCCGCGTAGTGCGTTCATGAAATTTGGCGGCTGGGATTAACCCGAACAATTCCTCAGAGCACTCTCCATGGTATATGCGAAAGAAAATGCAAAGAGATGCAACATCTCTTCGCAGCGCCAGTGAATCGAGCCGATCGGAAAGCACTCGGTCGTCGACGATTCGAGCCGCTCTGCGCTGGATGCGGTCAAGTGGAAGGAGCTGGTACTGGGGAGCCCCAGCCCAGAGATGGGAACGGTATTCCATGTGCGGCCGAACCTGCGCCTTGTAAAGTTGCAGGCGGTGTGCCGGCATGAAATACTGTCCCGCTCTGCTGAGCACGCCAAGCTTTTTAGACCAGGCTTTTTTATTTCAACCAGGTCGTTGCGCTACCGTAGATTTAATGCTGTTCAGCTACAGCATGCATTACGTGACGTTCGAGGTGTCGAAATCAGTAGGTGGACAGTGAGACGAAAACGAAATTCAACATCACACAAACCGGCAACAGGCCAAAATTAATTATAGCTCACCGTCGCTCCCGAGAACACATCAATTGAACTTAAGAAGACTGGAGGTCAGTTTTGTTTTCTGACGAGTCGCGAATCTGCCTTATTGACAATGACCGGAGAAACCGAGTATATAGACGACCTGGTGAAAGATTTGCCCAATATTGCATTCGAGAAACTGTAACTTTTGGCGGTGATAAAAGAACTTGTATGGTTTAGGGAGGAATGTCTCTATACGTAAAAACGGAACTTGTCTTCGTCGACCCCGTCAACGATAGAAGTGGTAGACGTGGATTAACAGCTCACCGATACACAAATAATATTCTCGAAGACCATATAATGCCGTATACTGGTTTTGTCGGATAAAATTCCTTGTTTATGTATGACAATGCCATGGCTCATACCGCACGGATCGCTACGGAGTATTTGTCGGCGATCGGGATTCAACAAATGGTGTGGCCAGCAGGAAGCCCGGATTTGATTCCGATCGAACAACTATGGGGCGAGCTAAAACGGAGAGCTCGAAGCAAGGTTCCCCTTGGGAGCACATGCCAAAATATATCATTGTAACGCTGATCAGATAAATAGACTGCCAGAATGCATCAGGGCACAGGGGTGGGGGTTATTGTTTTTCTGGACCATTTTAACCCTACTAAATTTTCATAGTTACCATTTTTCTTTCAGATTATTAAAATTACCTTTTTCAGTCAATAATTTACCATTCATTAAGGTTATTATTCAATAATTTACCCTTATTGTAAGGGTTGTTCAATAAACATTTAGGCGTATATTTATATGGTTCGAATTGATACGCTCTATACTACCCGCTATATTAACCATTATATGTGAAAAAGAGGGTCGATTTATTTTGTCCCATGTGCAAATATTTAATATACAAAATCGCACTACTTTTCCGTATCAAAATCCACTTCGAAGCATTGTTTAAACAATTATATAGGAGTAGTCATCCGCTTCCGGTGAAGCTCGCGCAAAAACAAATCGATTTAAAAACTTACTAACTTTTTCTGCTTGAATTTCTATATATTTTATCATACTATAAAAAGCAAGGTCTTTTATTTTCCATTAATAAAAATTACATAACAATTCATTCTTTGAAAAGGAAAAGAAAAACAATGTAGCTAAAACACTTTTAAACTACTTCAAGGAGTAGGTGTTCAATTCGACTGTATGTTTTTTTTTATGTGTGTTACCTCAGAACTTCTTTTTGGGTGCAGCAATTTTGATGATTCTTTTTATTTGAAAGCTGGCGCTTCTCGTGTGTCCCAAACAAATTCGATCAAGATCTGACCAGTAATTTTTGAGTTATCCTTAAATAATGCGTATTTAATTGACTTCTAATACATTGATTCGGTCGTATTGAAGTAGGTTGGACAACGTTTTTAATTTTACCACTAGTTTAAATTAATGTTTGACAAAAATCCCATGTGATGTTTAGTGCTGACAGGGTCCTAGATTGTAAACACGTTAGCATAGAAAATACTGTAGAGGTAAGGGAAATCTAACACAGGTAGTGTTCCAAATGTCTACTTTAGGTAGCAAATATTTTAAGGAAATTTCAATTTTACAACCGAAAATTTAATTTATGCTTACCTTATCAACGGTCTTCTCAGTAACATTTCTTATCGCATAACGAGAACGAAATGAGGAGGCGTTTTTATCCGGGTAAGGTTCATAGGATGGCTTGCGTAGCGGTTCATATTTCCCTCTGAAATAAGAACATTTTCTTTTCTAATAAGGCACGAGTGGCGGAAATAGGTTATTATATATATTTACTTTGACTGCCCCTTTGGTCTAGTAGTTGTAGTAGTGCGACTGCTGATCATGAGGTCCTGGGTTCGAATCCCGGGTCGGGCTAAAAAATTAATTATTGAGTTTTTCGGTCAAGAAATTCTCAGTAGTTGCCCGGAGTCGGGAAGTTGGCGGTCTCACCCCCGTGCCTCGGAAAGCACGTAAAGCCGTTGATCCTGCGCCTGTGTTGGTCAGTTGGTCAGTTGGTCAGCCTCTCTCCGGTCGTGTCGGTTTACCGTCCCATCGGATTATGAGAGTGAGGGAATAGAGAGTGCCTGTCCTGCGTTTAGCGTTTTTTTTTTAATTCGGATATATATTTTTATATTAAAGCCAACTACCTATGGTTTTAGTGACAACGGTGTATATATATATCATTATTTTTAGGTAAAATCTCGATTTTTCCTTAATTCCTCAATTTTTGCCTTTTTCCCTAAGCCAGGATGAAAGTATGAAGGAAAAGTTACATCACAGGTTACGTGTACCTATTGTGTTTTTATTGGAATATTGTGTAGGTAGCATAGAAATATAAACAACAGGAGAAGCGGCAAGGGGGCGTGTCTGTGTCCGCGCGCTATGATCAAAATGCTCAGCTTCTATACAAATGGCCGTCCATGCGAATTAGTGCGCTGTCGACCGTCATCGTGAAATATTATCAGAATACCATGTTGTTCAGTGGTTTCTTGTAAAAACCGAAGCTAAAACAAAAACTTTGTTAATCATGAAATCACTTACCATACCTAAATAAAAGTATTTAATTATACTTATCTTTAAAATCATATTAAACAGCAAATCGTAAAATATGTATTGCTCTTACTACGTTATTTTTGATTTCAAATATCACAGTCACTGTAATATTTTTGCAGTAAATACATTGCTCCATAACCAGTACCTTAGTATGACGCCAAGTGACTGAACAAGCAATGTAAATATCACAAAATGATACTTTATTTATGCAGATATATGGCGTAATACGGCCGCTGTATCCTGAGACGAGCTAGTTATGTGCTTGTGTAGATCCACTATCGACAATAATGTGGATTGGTGAATTGTTATTATAGTTTATTCTCCAATTTGTCAACCGTTTCAACCCAATAGGAAGACCGACGTGACACAATGTTTTTTACTTATTTTAATTATTTTACAGCAACTACTACGCTGAATGCGTAACCAACGGTTGTAAAGTAAGTTGATTAAATTTTAGGTTATTATTACATTTTTACCTACATATTAATTACTTTTATTACACTATTCTCTGGACATATGGTATTTTAATTATTTTATATTCAGGGCCCATAATAATTTTAGTACAATTTTGGTATAAATGAAACAATCGTTAACTTTCCAATTTAGTCAATCACTAACGTATATGTAAAATAAATGGCTTTTTTTACAGCACAACGATAGTGACCGATATTTATGTGTGAGTAAGTGGCACGGTGAATGGTAAATGCACGCTGTGCTTTCAGAGATATGGTTTAAAATTGACTGTGTAGTACGTTCTGATTTATAAAATGCGAGTGTGTGCGCGACTGTGTATTTATTGCTTTTACTGATGTGCATATGTAGTAGTTGGCACGTGGTAGGGGCCAACTGGAGACACCGGGTTCCGATACATTTTCAACTATAGAGCATATCTCCTTATTTCTTATATCTATGGTAGGTAGCTAGTGCGGGCGGTGATCTTTACAGTGATTACGTCACTTGTTCGCATAGGGTATCCATGAATTTACGGACAGTGTCGGACAGAAACTTTTAAATTTTATGAAAGAAAATAGCGTTTTTTTTAATTCGGATAAATATTTGTATATTAAAACCAACTACCTATGGACTTAGTGACAACAGTTTTTTATATATATATATATATATATATATATATATATATATATATATATATATATGGTGTCACGTTGTAACACCAGAGGTGGTAGGCAGGGCAGAGAAGTAGATGGAAAAAAGAAGTGATCAGTGGTTAGCCCATCGCCTACACAATTATAATCCCAATATTCCATTAAATGCATTTAACGACATGCTAGGCAAATTAGCACATTCTTTTTGACCAATGTGGGACCTAAATGTACCAGATCAAGGTGGACAGGTTGTATTAACTTAGGAAGTGTTGCCATAAAATCATTTGACTAAGAAGGGATATAACAGTACCTGGCTACCCTTAGAATGTACCCAATCTGAATATTTTAACCTTTGCAGCTGCCATTCTGCTATCCAGTCCGATGCAATAAAACGCAAGGATCGCAGTAAGGCCATTCGTTTCTATGTCATTTTTGTTAAAATAAGAATAAAAATTATTGAATATGAGATAGTTTTCTACATTGTTTAATATTTTGGATATAATTTAATACAATGGCTAATATTCCAAAAAATGGAAATAATTGGAATGATGTTTATAAGATGGATATATTTTGATGATAGATGGATAGATTTGGAGACCCGTAACATTCCTAATATAAAATATTAATAGTTCTTTTGCTTAAAATCCCTGTCGCCACTGTCGCAATAAATTGTACATTGTTTATTTCGGTTAACCGATACTCTTCATGCTAATAGACAACTTGCCTAAAGCAACATACTGATCATATTTTTTTCTGGCCGAAAGCCATATAGCCACCGCTAACAAAAATAAAAAATGCAATACCTATAGGTGGGTCGCGCGTGGTCCGAGGGACGCTGTATTTCCTCGTCGCTAACGTCCGACAGCGACTCCGTGGAGTTAGCGCGACGCAGCTGCCGACGGCCCCCGCGCTACACAAACACACAACAAAACTTTTTACAAAAAGAAAATAATATGGTATATGCCACCTCACCAAGCTTCTCAAAATCTGGGAGGTATATCTGTTTACAGTCAGCCAAATCTAAGAAATACCTTTTGACGTTTCACATTACTCATTTCGCAATAACTTTGCACAAGCGTACTCACACGATTTAAAATAACCTTTTACATAAATCCGAAGAATTATTAAGTTATCTATATAGCATTACAACGTGTATAGTTTTTTTATTACTAATTTAAATTCGAACCTTTCAAACAAAGCAAAATATTAAAAAAATAACCAGTATCAACTTTTTTACTTGACGTCGTTTCAATGATATGTCGCTATGTAACTTACCGTAGTGTTTGGATGATTAAAATTCATAGTTATGCGAATAATCGGTAAAAATATTCAAATAATAGAATAATTAATTTTTTGATGTATTATTTTTTTAATAAAATGTTTATTTTAAAAATTCCTTAAATTATTTGGTAGAGCCATGCTGCTGTTATATTAGTAGTATAACTGTAGCACGAATGGGTCGGCTTGACCGGGGCAGGACCACGCTCTCACAGAATACCAGCGTAAAATAGTACATAGCTTAATGCTGCTGTGTTTCGTATGGTGAGTGTAGAGAACCGGAGACCCTTTTTACTGGTAACGAGGCATTCCATCTTAGTCCTCACGGGTGACAACGCATCTGCATTTGACATGATTCGTGGTCGAGGATAGATATAGATGTCTATGAGCTACAGCATCCACTTACCATCAGGTGGACTGTGTACTTGTTTGTCACCCTATCCTATAAAAAAATTACATGAATCATGAATAAAACAAATTACTTTTTTTTATTCTGTCAACGTAAATTTGTGTAGGCAAAAAAATTTTCAAAAAATTTGTCTTCTTATTTTGTGACTCGGCTTTAACTTTTTGGACTATTTCTTCTATATTCGTTGAAGCATGTGCCCATATCACAAAGGATGATTGGGCAAAAGTGATAGAAAAAACAAAAAAATTGATTATGGATGACATTGAAAGAGACATTAATTTTGACTGCATTATTGAAAATAAAATAATAATTAATCTAAACCACGACAGCTCAACTATAAATTGTAAGACAGTTGTGCTGAAAGTGATTTATAAATATATATTTAATCTAGTTTCAATCTTAAATTTTATAACTTTGCCCCTGAAATAAGCAGTAACAACAAATACGAAGAAACTGATAAATCTTGTGTTTTAAATTATGTTCTAATTTATTATTATTCAAACCACGATTTTTTTAAGAATTGAATATTGTATGTTCAAGTTTTTTGGTTGGCATGCTTGGTGCAAAAAGTCTGACAGCTGTCAACATGTATTTCTTAGATTTGGTTGACTATACAGTTAAATAATAATTATTTAAATAAAACATGTACCTAATTCAATTGCTATCGGATATGCGGATATTTTACGTGACACTAATGAAAAATCTATCCTATTAGGAAATGAATATTGCATTAAGAATAAATTCAAAACTAAATTAATAAGCAGTTTCAGAGATATCATGCTGCTATTAAAAAAGGAAGAAAATATAATATTCTCCCCTTTTTTAAAATTCGGCACTACTAATTTTACAATTCCTAGATTACTATATAAATCGAAAAAGCTGTTATTAATAAAATTACTATATGTAGTAAGTTTTAAACAAAATAAACAACAATTATCATAAATGATAAATTAGAAACAATAAATGCAGGTTAGTATGCGCATGTGACAGATCCCCAATGCAGCAATGTTATTTGACAAGGAACAACATTCTCATCAGTACAGCATAAAATACTAGAATAATGTTGCAGGGTTTTGTTTGTGATATCTAGTGACAAGAACCAAGGGCGCTTTTAATAGTACAGCTTTTAGTAGTTATAGGCGATAACATATTCTGCATCATGATTGTTGCTGACCAACATGAGGGCAACCTAAGCAAAAGTCAAATGAAAATAACGATAATAATGTGAAATAAATCAATCCGATTTAGTAGTAAAATATGAAAAGGATTTGAAGTTACCAGAATCAAAAATGATGTTAAAATATTAAATTATGTTACCAAAAATAATGTTCATACCATTAAGATATATTCAAAAAACTTACACCAGTATTGTTGGGTTGTGGTTTAGTAGGTGCTGGCACTACAGGAGGAGACGGATTTCTATAAAGAAAATTCCAATTTAATAAAAGAATATTTAAATTTTAAACATAGTCTTAAAATATAATACACATATTACTTACCTCTCTCCACTCTTGCCGTCTCCACCTGTTCGACAAAAACAATATCAATATTTTTTATTCATATAGCACTATAGCAGTAACCACTCTTAAAACGAGTTAGGTGATGAGTTTCTAAGAGAAATACATCATTAGTGTGATATCCATTAATAGTGACAAAATAGACACAATTCCGTAAGGCTAAACCTAAATTCTAACATATGCAACTGCTAATGCATAAAATTCTGCATATTGAATGAGCAAGATGAGATCTACATTTTGATAAATACTATTTAATTTTCAAAAAATTATAAAAAAGATACAATGAAATTAGGTGCAGCATGCTCTGCGAGTACTCTGATAAACTCACCTTGTGAGGACAAGGACTTGATCAGATCTACATCCACGATCTCCTCAAAAGTGTTACCATCCTGTTCCGAAAAGTGGACGCCCTTAAAGATCCACTGAGTAATGCGTTCTCTACAAATAATTTAATACACAGTTGCTTAATATATGTCATCATCATGTACGTACATAAAAACATAAATAGCTTTGATAAGAATAAAGTTGTTCATACTTTAGATACTAGAAACAAACATAAGCTTGTAATACCAGTTACTATAATAAACTACTAAAAAAAAATAGGGCCCACTCGAAGTTAATCTCGAATTTCGTCTAAAAAAAAATTGTTGGGTTTTCGTCTAAAAAAAAATTAGTAGAATAGTGAAGTTAAACATTTCGAAGTATCGTTGACATGTTTATTTAACGTTATCAATGTTTCAAGTTATGGTTATTATACTCATTCAATGGTGAGTCGACAAAAAAATGAAGTACTCCAAAAAACGTTTATTACTCAAATTGTCAGTCACTTGTGCCCCTCAGTCACATTCTGAATGTTACAGCCGCACGATTTTTTCATTTTGAATGGATTTCGGTGTTACTCGCGATCATTACGCCTGGTTCTCGGCGTCATATTGATGTGGAAACAGCAACAAGAGCAGTGTTTATGCTTCAGGAGGGAGAATCTCAGAGATCAGTGGCAAGACGTCTTGGTGTGTCGCGACGAGCTATTCGAAACGCGTGGAAACGCTTTCTAGAGACAGGTAGTGTCGCAAGGAGATCTGCATCAGGAAGAGCGCGAGCTGCAACCGTCCAGGAAGACCGGTATATCAGATTGACTGCACGTCGAGAGCGTACGATTCCCGCCCGCGTCTTACAAAATCGACTGCGGCAATCAACTGGCGAGCTAGTGATCAAACCATTTGAAATCGGCTCCATGAAGACGAACAACGTTCCAGATCTCGTGTTATTCATCTAAATTTGACGAGAACGCATCATGCAGCACGTTTGAGGTTTGATCGCGAGCATGCGGAGTGGACAATAGATAACTGGAGAAATGTTCTCTTTACGGACGAAAGTAAAGTGAAGTTTTTCAGCGATGATCGTCAAGTGTGCGTGTGGAGAAGCGAAGGAGAACGTTTTCCAGAACCTTGCATACATGAAACGGATCGTTTTGGAGGTCCAAATGTTATGATGTGGGCTGGATAAGCTTGCTCGGTAAAATTGAGCTGGTAATTCTGGAAGAAGGCTCCATAACTACCTCCCGGTATGTCGATCGAATAATTCGGTCCTATGTCATCCCATTTTCACAAAGAGTGGGTGAAAACTTCGTCTTTATGCAAGACAATGCTCGCCCACATACAGCGCGAACAACCCAGAGAGCTCTCTCTGAAGCCAATATTACGGTTTTACCGTGGCCGGCCATGAGTCCCGATCTTAACCCCATTGAACATTTATGGGACCAATTGAAAAGAAGCCTCAAATCGAACTTCAGTAATGTGACTAATCGACAAGAGCTCATAAACGCCCTAAAATTGTGTTGGGAGCGAATACCCGAGAAAAACAGCACCCACTTGATTGAAAGTGTCCCAGATAGATTCAGAGACTGCATACGGAACAGAGGAGGACCTACTCGCTATTAAGCACCATCAAACTCATTGATTTAGGCAATAATAAAAATCAAAATCAAACTTTACTTAAATCAATAATTTCTGTAAACTTTCCTAAAAACTGTAAATTTTGACTAAATTCCATAAAATTGGCAAAACTTACTCTTGTGAATGTTCACACACTTTCGAAAACTTTAATTTATTCATTCCTAATCATAGAAACTGAAAAAAGAAAAAGAATCTGTAAAATTAGTTTATAAAACATGGTGGGCCCTATTTTGTTTTGAGTAGTTTATTATGTAATGATTTCTTATAAATAAAAAAAAAAAAGTAAAAAAAAAGTAAAAATAAACGCGATAAAATCCGTAAAAGTAGTTTTAATAATGTAGTTTATAAAAAGAAAAAAAAGAATCTCTCTCTTTTTTTTTTGTTCGTTTTTTTTCCGCGCTTACGCGTTCGGCAAGTCGTTTCTTTGGGGGGTCTTTTTTAGAGATTTATATAATATTTTATCTTTTGAATATTGTGCGAACATCTTTATTTTTATGCTTTTTTTTAAATGAATAAAGTACTTTATAACAATAGATGATTTTTCTTCTACAGCGATCTTTTACATAACTTTTTAATAATAGTTAATAAATATATATTATATCAATCATTATAAAAAAATAAAAAAATCATTATAAATAAAGAGTACTACATATAAAATGTGCCCATATATTGAAGGTTTGTAACCCCTGGCGTTTTCGATTTGACACATACTATATAGACTCCACAGAATTAGTAACTTATTTATGGGGCAATGTATACTTTTACAACAAAATTCCAGAAAATGTACAAAATTTGTCATTAAACAAGTTTAAATGTTTTATTAAGGTGAAGTGGGTGCCAAAAGCAGATTTTTCACGCTTTATAGGCGCGCAGAAAATCATTTTTTTGTCACTAAAACTACTAATTCACATTTTTTTTTAATTATTATGAAAGTTAAAGATTTTTCTTAGTGAATTATGGTGGCCAAAACACGATTGACACATTTTGGCTCGATAGAAAAAGATCGCAGTTTCCTCAAAATCTACAACTTTAGGTACGTCCACTAAGTAAAAAGCAGTTTTATTCGAATGTAATGAAATCAATTTCAATGAAATTCAGGCTATGTACTCACCAGGAAATACGAGAGTGAATTATGGGTTTATTTTACAATAAGTGTATATATAAATTTAAAAAAATCAAATAAATATTGTCTGATTAAATATATTGGGCACAGCAGGACACAAAAAACCTTTAAATCGAGACCGTCCCATCTAAAGTGGGACGTAAGGTCACGTTAGATATGAGGGAACTCAAATGAAGAAAAAAAATTGAGCTCCTAATTGTAGCTTTTTCGTCGAAATAAATGTAAGAACAAACATTATTTTTAAGAAACTTCTTATTCATTTTGCATTACTTATCCGTGCATTATCAGTTATCACAGCTACTTTAAGTTGCTTTAAAAACACTCACTTTTCCTTCTCAAACTCTTCTTTTTCGATGTTTGCGGGTTTGAGGCGTCCATATTTGTCGTCGATGCGCTGAGCCAATCGGTTGACGACAGTGTGCACGCCGTCGCGGTACTTCGAAGCGCCGCGGTATGGCCCCAGCAGGCCGGCAGCCTTCCTGAAGTGACGGATCTAATGACACAGATTACGCCATCATTAATAAACCAGATACTTTTTTTAATGGTAAATGAGCATAGGCTACAAAATAGTTAAGTGGCTTCTGCAAACCATGCAACCTGGGTCAGCCTTCAAACAAAGGTAACCAAAGATGTTATGTCACCCTTAAGGACTAATCCGTTGGGCTATGTCGGTCACTGGTTTTACTGCGGATATCCTCATTTCTGAGTCTATCACGCAGAGAATCCGTCGATTGACCTCTAGGTCGAAGTTGGACTTCCTAGTTGGACTATTTGTCCCACGTAAACGTACTCGTCAACAACTTCGAGCATAGTGCTCCCAACAACTACCGGCATAGGTGTGACATGGACATTAAACATGATCTTTGTTTTGTCCATGTTCATCTTAAGACCTATCCGTTGGGAGACACCATTGAGGTTATTGAGCATAGTGCTAAGGTCCTCCAGCGATTCTGCCATAAGGACTATATCGTCGGCAAATCGAAGGTGAGTGATGTACTCGCCATTGATGTTAATACCGTATCCTTTCCAGTCCAGTAGCTTGAAAACGTCTTCCAACGCAGCGGTGAAGAGTTTCGGGGATAAAACATCACCCTGTCTTACACCTCTCTGCAGTTGGATAGGTTTCGAACTCCGGTTCTGTATTCGGATAGCCATCGTAGCCCTACTGTACAAACACTTCAGCACTTCGATATACCGATGGTACTGAAGCCTTTTTGGAAATGTTAGTAAGCTGAAGTGGCAATGGGCCGGACATATAGCTCGAAGAACCGATAACCGATGGGGAAGAAAGGTTCTCGAGTGGCAGCCTCGTACCGGTAGGCGTAATGTAGGGCGACCCCCCCACTAGATGGAGTGACGACCTGGTAAGACATGCAGGAAGTCGATGGAGGTTGCGGGCCTTTTGTGTGGCCGCAGCAGTGGACTTGTGAAGGGCTGTAATGATGATGAATGATGATGATGATGAAGGATTAAGATGTATTGAGCCTGCCTTAAAACCTATGTTAATTAGTCAACCTGCTGCTAGGTGGCTTCTACAAGAGTGAGTGTAAGCCAAAATTACTATGTGATAAGTAATAAGGAAATGATATGTAACAAGCTTTAAGAGAGAAATATTATAAATTTTTAAATTAGCCGCATAAAAAGTACATTTACTTATTTTTGGTCATACAAAAAAACCATTATCATATAGTTAAATGTACCGTTCTAAATTATGTTTTTTTTTGCCTCTTTATATCAAATAATGAAAATTTACAATGTTATGGATTAATTTTTGAAATATAAAGCTTTACAGTAGCCTGCTTTGTGTGAACTCCTACATTATATAGATAAGAATGAAATAACTTTGTTTCATACTGTTATAGTCCCCATGACAACACTTGATTCTACAAATTTAAATATTATGTAGATTATAGAAGTAAAAATATATGGTAGATTAAATATATTCAACTTTTTTTTACCAACACAGTGAGGAATTAGATATTTAAAGTCTTTAGGAGTCCAAGATATTTGAAATAATTCAGTAACTTGAGTTTTATTTTTACATGGTAGAGCCATGTTCCAGTTATATAAGTATAGTTGTAGCACGAATGGGTCGGCTCGACCGGGGTAGGACCACGCTCTCACAGAATAGCAGCGTCAAATAGTAGCTTAATGCTGCTGTGTTTTGTATGGTGAGTGTAGAGAACCGGAGACCCTTTCTACTGGAAACGAGGCATTCCATCCAAGTCCTTACGCATAACAACGCATCAGCATTTTGATTCGTAATCGAGGATAGATGTAGATGTCTATGAGCCACAGCAACCACTTACCATCAGGTGGAGTGTGTGCTCGTTAGACAACCTATCTCATAAAAAAAGTTTTGTTTTGTAGCTTAGCGGGCATACCAACAAAGTTTTTCAAAATTAGAAGACGAGGTTACTTACGAGGTAATTCAATCGATGCCAATAACAAGTCAAATGATTGACAATGGTGCGAGGATGGCCTTGTTTGGAACAAAGAATGCACAAGTAGGAGGGCTCGTAGTGTGCCTGCTCTGGCGGGTGTTCGATCAAGTACTCCACGCCCACTAGTGGGGCCCTGCAGCAAAATTAAAAAGGAATTAATAAGGTAATCTTTTTCGAGCAGTATGTTTTATACTTGATGAATAAGTATAATCTTATCTTGTCACTGTAAGGAATAAACCATTCAAATTTGAATTGATTAATAACCACTCTTATTGAATTCTTATTCCTCTAAACAGAACATTTTTTCCTCATTTTTGCGAAATAGACTGATGTATGTTTTATGATAACGACCCAATGCACACACACACTATTTATTATCCTTGCCAATTCCAACCTTAGCAGTACGCCGTAGATGTAACATGTTTAATTGAAAATATTTAAGAGATCCGAGTGCATCATGCTACTCCCCCCACTACCACACTACAGAGTTGCTTTTCAGTAAAAAACCATACAGACGGGGCCAGCTGTCTTAGTAATTTGTTTCTCACGGGTTTTGTTCATCTGTTTACTGTGTTTCCTGTTTATAAACGTTTAGAACTAATAAAGAGTAATCTTCTGACACAGATTGTTTAAACATGACAGATGATGACACCACCAGTAAGGCTTCATATGTTGTTATATAAACAAACTGGCGTCAAAGGTGTGGGGCATCTATTGTCTAGTACTTTGGTGGTCAATTCATCTGCAGTTACAGCAATTCTACCCAATTATGATAGGCTTATGTCCGACAATGAAGAAGTACAAGCTGTAATTATATTAATTTAACCATCACCAACCTTCCTCTCAAATGAATTCATTTTGATAATATAAACATAAAATATGGTTGCTGAGTTTTGGTCAATATCACTACAGCGCATGCATCACATCAAGTCCTGGACATAGGCTTCCACTAAGCATGGCAGAGTTTTAGTATAATAACACAATAATTATTACTTATAATATAGTTCTAAAATATTTTTAATTACATACACATATCGGCGCATTGCTGTCACATAAGAAATAATTGTCGAAATATCGTTTTAAATTTGGAAGTTATATTGTTTAATTAGGAATGATAATGCATTCATTGAAGTTGAATGATATATAACTTTGAATAAATTGGTCGGTACGTTATGCACCACCTACTGTAAGTTAGTTGTACTATGCCTATAACCTTAGCGTCAGTGCAAGCAATAAGTTAACGGTTTTAGCACAATCTAATGAAAGGTATGGCAGCGCACACTTCTCTCGCCTCCTTGACGTCTATATATGTTCGCATACATGTTCATTGGTTAAGGGTAATCTTAATTTGTCTGAGTATTATGAACATGTTACTCACTTCACAGAGTCCAGTGTTTCCTGGATGTGGCAAACAACATCTCTGTACTTGTTGTATTTCTCATCCAGCTCATTTGCTACCTTGTTGTGGAGAATTACTTCCTCGGCCATTTTTTGATTGATCTGCTCTGTTGCTGAGGAAAATAGTAAGAAAATATATTTTTGTGTGAAATATTTTGAGATGTGGCCTAACATCACCAATAGTTTCAGAAAGTTTTATGCAACTGCTTGTTGCAGTCCATTGAAAACCCTAATCTGAAGCTTCATAAGCCTTCCCATAAAATGTCTTACAGAGGGCACTTGTGCCATTATTGCCATACTTGGAAAGCAGGTAGGCCAACTAGTTTTTTTCTGCTATTTGTTAACAGACTATAGGATAAGATTGAAAATCGAGCATACGGTCCACATGATGGTAAGTGGTTGCTGTGGCCTATATAATTCTAGATCATCCTCCATTAAGAATGCAGATGCTTTGTCACCCCTGAGGAATAAGATGGAATGCCTCGTTTCCAATGAAATACGTCACTAGTTCTTCTCACTCATCATACAAAACGCAGCAGTATTAAGTCGCTATTTTACGCTGGTATTCTGTAAGAGTGTGGTCGTCACTTGGTCAAGCCAACTCAATCATGCTACTGTTACTATAATATAGCTGCAGAATGGCTATCCCACGTTTAAAAAATGGGCGACACACATTGTTGATGTTTAAATGAACCATTTCGAGCTGCTTTCGAAACCTATATAACGAAAAACTATTTTAGACCTACAAACTTATAATTTTGCACACATAGTGTGATTGGATTGCAGAGACCAAATAATTTGCTAAGGTTTGAACACAGGACTCTTGACTATGACAGCAAATATGATACCTTAATCAGCATAATATGATAAATGAATTACCTCCAGTTTTGATGACACCTTTCTCTTTTAAAATATATGGGTGCTCTTCAAAAATACTAATCGGCCATACTGTCTTCATCGATAGCTTGGTTTTATGTTTCTTCCCCGATATATGCGTCTGCAAATAAAAACGTAATTAACTGTCTTATTGTTTAATACTCAAGCGCTACTCAATTTTAAGTTGTCATTATATCTTGTGGTGTCAGAGCCTTTTTGACTTATAACAGTATTGAGAAAGTCTATAAGATCTTGAAGAGTGAGCAGCCGTGAATCAGCGAAAATTAGAAAATGAGAATAGCTGAAACAGACCTAGAGGTCATTTATGAATAAAATAAAGAGCTGGGTGCCCAAAATAGATCTTTGAGGTACACCACAAGTGACAACAATAGTTAGATTCGAAATTATAACATACCTAAGTTATACCAATAAATTACCACGAATTCCGTTAAATGAAATTTTATCCATAAGCAATAATTCATGATTTATCTTGTCAAAAGCCTTTTGAAAGTCAGTATACAACATCGGTTTGAACTTGGTTCTCCATGTTTTCGAACAAAAAATTCATTTAATCTGCTTTGGTATAAATATTTACAACAGCAGACTTCTATGAGGTGATTAATACCAATCTCACCTGCAAAATACTCTCGCCACTGCAGACCGCAGCGCAGGGGTAGCATAAGTATATCCAATTCGACGACACGTCTCGCCCGCGCCTCTCCACCATGCACCGAACGCTCCCATCATCGAGTTTTATCTTTAAACTGTTCAAATGCTCTTGAAACTCTAGCTCTGCCTGTAATATAGAAATATAAATTAGACTTTATACATGTAATAATTTTAATGGTACAAATTTTTTAAACAAATTCCGAGACATAGCAGTCCATTACGCGCGACATACATTTTCATAAGTAAAATCAGTCTTAAAGGTACTTTAGTCGTGTGTATTTATGGGATAAATTGAAACAAAAGAATTAAAATATGTAAATATATTTATTTGTACTTTCATTCAGTTTGTTTTTGGTTACCTTTTTTTTTAGTTCGTAATCCTTACTTACCGAATTGCCGCACCAGCAGTCAAGACGTCGTAATTAAAGAATGTAAACAAGAATCGACACCATAATTTACGCACCTAATATTTTCTTTTATAAAATTCGGGCGTGCGCGTATGGTTATCCCATAAACCATTTTTCTTGGGAAATACCGAACTTGAATTTGACAAATGTCATTTTAGGATTAGAATTTGGTATATGTATCCGCTTGAATTTTAGAAAAAAAATTGTGTCCGACTCCTGCTTTCCTAATTTAGTATTGTATCAAGTCCGTCATTTTAAATGTATATTTAGCAATTTAGTAACTATTATTATTTATATGTACCTTACAGGCCAAACACACAAAAATCCAGACACTAAATATTTATTTATTTCATTTTGGGATAACTGCGAGCGCAAACATTTTATCATACGAAGATTGTATGCATGTATCACTACAAAACCTTGATAAATTATAAATATCGAAAAAATAATTGTGTGGAACGAAGCCATATATCTGAGGGATTGAAAAATTACCAATGGGATGGACAATATGAAATTAAATTAAATCTTCAGGAAACTGCGCGAAAATTTGCTATTTAACAGCGCCATCTACTTCATTCTATAGGTAATTTTATGAATTAAAAGTCGATCGACTCTCAAGGTGGTTCGTAAAATCGACGCTAGGTGGTCTATACACAACGAATTTAATATAAATCTCATTCTCTTGCAGTCTAAATCCCTATAGATGTATATGTACTAATTTAGTGTCGCTTTTTCTTTTCATTGAGTTTCAATCACGTTTTTAAAGAAGTTTTCACTTCAAAAATAATATTAAGTATTAAACATCTTCCACAATATGCGCCATCATCAGTGTCACAACGCTAATCAAGCTATTATCATTCAACAGCAGGTAAATGCCATACAATCTGTAGCTGTGCTCGAGCTGTACAAGTAAACTCACCCATCGACTTCTTTACAAAATATGATGAACCTCATATTTTAACGAGTTAATTATTTAAAAAGAAAATAAAGAACCCAACTGCAGTGCCTATTATCTACACATTAAATAAAATTGTCTGTAATAAAAATATAACTGGCTTCTATTAAGCTCAAGGAGTTATTTGCTAGTTTTATAGATCTTCATTTTTATATTGCACACAGATAAATACTGAGTTCAAAATGGTTTCTCGATAATTGAACTCCCCGCCCAAGACCACTATTATAGATCTGCAAGTGTTTTATGCGGATAAGGCCGCGGTTAAAAGCTGCTTATCTAATGAAAATCGGTCACAATTACTAGATATAGGGTGAGTAATGAATTAGGTATGAAATTTTCAAATATTTTGAAAATTGAGTGTGGGTTATTTATGATCTAAACAATATTTCCTCTATAGTCTAACCTCATCATCATACATAATAGTTAGCCTCACGTCGATAACGCATTTTATAATTAACAAAATTTCAATCATCTACGCGTATGCGTACTCTGTTACAGGCAAACACCAAGGTGATTCCATAAGCGTTTGGTTTATCTGAATTAAGCACGCAAAACTATGTATAAATGACAAGAAGTCTTCGGAGTAACATCTCATGTTGTTTTGCGAAAGTCATATTGCTAATCACCATAAAATATAGCCTAAGATACCTGGAACGACAGCAAATCTGCGCTGGAGGTCGCGGGTTAGAATCCCGCACCGAACAAGTATTTGTATGGCCTACAAATAGTTCTTCCGGGTCTGGATGTTTGTCCTTGTGCAATTTATGTTTGTAAACTGCCCTCACGATACAGGAGAAAATTTTAGTATAGGGGTAATGTTTTTTTTTTTAAAAGAAGAGGAAATCTAACGGCATCTTGCATTATAAATCCCATGTCAAGCTGTTTAGGCTATGACCCAAACACACATACAATAATATAACAACCAGCTGTGAAACACAACTCTCCATTTAGCCAGTTGTACACACAGCGGGTACACCTGTTGTCCAAAGACAGGAGATTACATTCAAATCAAAATATGTTTACAGTGTAGTTATCGTTACTACGTATGTCATTTCAAGTCGGAAAGAACTTTTTAATGTTATTACACCACACCACAAATTTAACCTATCATAATTTCCCTATAAAGGAGATAAATATAAACACTGAAAATAAGTATGTTCCGAAATAGAATACTGGGTGTATACTGGCCAATGCAAATGACGTCATAAATTGACGCCATACTGGTGATTCGTTATATCGAGGGTATGTTCCAAAACGTTTCCAGTATACTGCCGAATACAAATGACGTCATAAATTGACGCCGTATTGTACTGGCGTGCCGCTGTGTCGGATATCCGGCCATATTAAAACAATTTTTAATTGTGTGTACGCTGAATTAATAATGGCAGAATTTGTTTTTATTTATTCAAATACTAAAAATGATAGAATAATTGCTGGTATCTCCATTAGGAGGATATAATGATTTTGGAGCACAAAATGACAAAATAATCACCAACACTTTTCCAATGTGGCACAAATTTATGACGTCATACACTGTCATAGGTTTTGGAACGAATCACCAGTATGGCGTCGATTCATGACGTCATTTGCATTGGACAGGACACTGGGTTCTATTTTGGAACACACCCCGAATATGGTGGAATATGGCATCAATGACGTCATTTGTCGTCGTCAAATGTCATCACTCAGATCGTCAGACGTCATCAAATGAACATTTCGGAACATACCCAATAAGTGTAATTTTTATAACGTACACTTGGAAGTTGTTGGTGACACCTGTCAAAAAGTCAATGTACGATATTCCTTCTGCTCGCAGCGTTTGCTGTGATCAGGTAAAACATCTTGTTTATCGGATCGTAATATAGTCTACTACATGAGATAAGTTTCTCATATCGTAATAAAGATTTGGCGTAATCGCCACCAGAAGTAGATTCGCCGTGCAAATATGTTACATATGGCATAATATACCAAATAGTAGCCTTCACCTATCGGGTTCTCTGAAACATTTTTGGCCTTTGCTATACTCGCTTTTTATGATATTTAGAGGACAAAATGGGATGTCCAGTAGATTAACGGCATACGGCAAAACAATAAATAACTAAAATTATCATCTATTCATTTTGATTACGAAAAACTATTGGATACTAATAATTTAATTTTCGAATAATTGCTTAATAAAACATCACCTGTATCGGCTGTAGAGTGGCTTTTCTTGACGAATCGACTGAAAGGAACCACTCTCCTACAGAATACTGTCGTAAATACTCATAACAAAACGAACACTTACGTTTTGTCCATAACGGTAAATAACTAATACAGTAGATTAATGGATACAACGCACTCCACGTATTAATTATTTATAGATGATGATGACGTGGCTGCCTATGGGCCACTTAACAACAGATGTACTTAATTTAAACGACGGAAGCCTAATGGCAGAGCGCGGACCGTGAACTTGAAGAATTGTGGGTTCGAATTCACCATTCGACTATTGTCTTATTAAACCACTCCTAACACAAGCATGTTAAGCTTACCAGGAGTGGTTAAAGGGAATATTAGTAACTTCAATAGCATTGCTAGCTTTTAAAAATAATAATAATAAAAAGACTATACTATTAAGAAACCCTAACTAACACATAATTACACATCCATAAAATCAAATTTACTCTTGGAGATGAAAAGAGTAAGTATTCTTCCACAGGAGTTGTCGCTTTAAATTTTCTAAATAGGTTTGTTTTATTTTCGTTGGATATTATTTATAAAAACGCAACCCGAACATAAATATCATTTATTTTCGGCCATTAACATATTATATACCAGTATGGTGTGTTAATATGGTAAACAAAATATCATAATCAAGGAATCATATCAATTTTTGGTGTAATATATTGGAAATTTATTTAAAAAACTAAAGTCATGTGCCTAAATACAAATATAAGCAATGACCGGGATCACTTTTTAATTTAATGTTGTAATTAGGAAAAATGATTTTAAGGGGTGATTAACTCCTAACTCACCTTTTTTTAATATTTTTTTTTTTAAAAATATAAACAAGCTTTCAGTGCAGGTAGTTTAGTGTAGGGCTACTGCGGTCCATGGGCATCTGCAGCCAACTTCAAACAGTGAGACAACAGATGCATTGTTACAGGACTAAGATGGATTGCCCTGTATATCTACTACCAGCTCTCTATACCTTTAAGACAGAACAGGAACACAGTAGTGTAAGAACTGCTGTTCGCCGGCAGAAATAGGCAAGAGGTTAACACCACCTAGTTAAGTACCTAAACTCTTTTTTATAGAATATCCCGACAAACGAACACACAGTCCACCTGAAGGTAAGTTTTTTTATAGGATAAGGGTGACAAAAGAGCACAGCATCTGCTTACCATCAGGTGGACTGTCCACCTGATGGTAAGTAGATGCTGTGTGTGACATTTAACCTTGATTAAAAATTAAAATGCAGATGCATTGTCACCCTTGAGAACTAAGATGGAATGCCTCAATATCAGTAAAATGGATCTCCAGTTCTCTACACTCCCATACGAAACACAGTATTCTGGTATGTTATCTGTAGTGTAGTATCTGGTATGGTATTCGGTGACAGTGTGATCCTGCCCCGGTCGAGCCGACCCGTTCATGCTACAACCATAATATAGCTGCAGCGTGACTCTACCACAATGCTGTGTCTCAAGGACATCTTCATTATCCTCGATTAGGAATCAAAATGCACATGCATTGTCACCCCTGAGGACTAAGATGGAATGCCTCGTTTCCAGTAAAAAGGGTCTCCGGTCTCTATTATTATATTAATCGTCCAAAAGCTCTGATGGCATTTGGACGATTAATGGCAAATCATCCATAATAAACCTACAAATGAGCTGGAGCTCTCTAACCCGCCAGCCTTGTGTTGTAAGATCGTCCAAATCTTTCAAGAAACTGTTTAAAGGCCAAATGTTTCTTAACATCATAAGTGGCATTTATACATGATAGAGCCATTCTATATTATGGCTGTGATCGCCTTGTGGGTCTTGTGGTCGTAAAAGCCTAGTTAGAGTACTGATCATAAAAGCTCCGGTTCGAGCCCCAGCTCAAGTCAAGAAATTCTAGGTAGCAGTCCCAAGTTAAGAATTTCGCGGTATTTCACCACCGTGCCTCAGAAAGCACGTAAAGTAGTTGGTCCTGCGCCGGATCTCTCTCCAGTCGTGTCGGATAATAATTCCATCTTATCGAAATTTGCACATAAACTTTGGCACTATGATCCTGCCCTCCTAATCATGGCTCCCCCGATTCGACTGTCCGCCGTGACCGTAATTAGGTCTGGAGGACTTACATATATATTATGATTGTAGCACGAAATAGACTCGACCGGGGAAGGACCACGCTCTCAGAGAAAACCAACGTAAAATAGAAGCTTAATGGTTCTGTGTTTCGTAAAATGAGTGTAGAGAAACCCTTTAACAGGAAACGAGACACTTCACTTTAGTCCTTATGAGTGACAACACATCTTACATTTTAATTCTTAATCGAGGATAAATGTAGATGTTTATGGGCCACAGCATCCACTTACCCTAGGTAGACTATTTTGCTCGTTTTTCACCCTTATTCTATAAAAAATAGTATCTTGTCTCATTTTCAGTAAGGCCCATATGCAATATTAAAAAAAAGGCCCTAGCAGTGTATTCTAATGGAGTATTTTAAAATGAGGATACTTTAAAATAAGGATATTTCTATATTTGAATTTAGTTTAAAATGTAGATAAAATATAAAGATAATTCAATCTCTGACAGTAAAAATTATTTAACAAATAATCATATCTTCAAAAAGGATGTGAATTCACGAGGTGTTAGAACATAAAGTACTAGCTTAATGTCTTCCTGATTTATGTTTTTTTTTTGTTATTATGTATATTTCTATATAAGCCAAATAGCACTGTATGACTGGTCACGAGCTCTCTAAAACTATACACCCGATTGACTTGAAATTTTATAGTTACTTATTTCACAATGTTCACTCACTAAAAACGGATTTTACGATAGTCCCATAAAAAAAAATTCTTGATATTTTTCATCTAGGTTCCGCAATAAAATATTAGAAACAGAAACAGAAACTTTTTTATTCAAAGTGGATTATAAACAATACTTATTGAAAGTCAATTTTTTCATTTACCACTAGCAACTCGCAAAAAAACTCTGTCCTGTGAAGAACCAGCAAGAAACCCAGCGGGACTATTTTTTTTTTTCCCAAATAATAGCTTGCAATCATGTTTACAATTAACAACACACGACAAATTAGAAATAGCTTGGTAGCGATCACCCTTCCCAGGGGTTATTATCATCCATAAATTCCTTAATATTATAAAATATCCCTTTTAATACAAACTTAGTTTAACAAAATTTTTGAACTTTGCGTATGACAAATTTTGTATATTTTCTGGGATTTTGTTGTAAAAGTGTATACATATTAGTATTTACAGAATGAATATAACCTATTTTTACAAAAACCACATTTATTTTTGTGTACGTACATTACATTTTCATAAATGTATTGAGAGGCCAGAGTTAATATATTAGTGGGTATAATCTACTTATGTATTGTTACGAGAAACCTATGAAATCTCTAAATTTTAAAGGAGTACTGAGTACTTTTTCACCTGTGTTGGGAATCACTAGGATTGTGAGTGCGACTATTGATCATGATCTCGAGTTGGGCCCAAATAAGTTATTGGATTTTTCTGTAAAGAAATTCTCAGTAGAAGCCTGGAGTCAGGAGATGGGTCTCGAGCCTCAGAAATACGTCTAAGTCCTCAGTCCTTCCTGTGAGTACAAGTACTGTAAGCGCCCGAAACGTCGGGAATTAAAAAGTTAAAATTAAATGCGATAAAATCCGTAAAATTAGTTTCATTAAATGTGTAGGTATTCACGAAAATATAAGAAATAATCATTAAAAATAACTTCTCTATTAAACTAAATTACTAAATTACATTAGAGGTTATTGGGTCTAGAAATGGAGTTAATTTCATTTGGGAAAATTACCAATAGGTACATCAAGCTTGGTTTCCAGAATTTAATATTTTATGTTTTTTGATGTAAAATAAGCTTTTTTATTAAGATTTTGAAAAATGTGTCTACAATATTTTTTTCTTCTCACTATTTAATATAGTTTATCATTCAACAGACTCAAAGGACATTTGTATATCTGAAACAGGAGCCAATTTGACAATACAATTTGTTTATGATTGGATATCAAGCTTATTGTCATGTAACTGAGCTATTTATTTCAATTAAATTTACAATACTGATTAATATGACCGGATCATCATGTCTCAATAATGCGTAAGAACATAGAAAATAGAAAAAACTGGAGAAGTGCAAGTAGATTTCCCACCCAGAGGGTTCCTTATAAACTGAACTATATTTGACGAAAGTTCATCCATTTAGGCCAGGCTTGTAATTTTTGGGATAAACACAATCATTTGGAGCTAAATATATAATGTTAAAGCTAAACATATTGCAGCCCTATTCACCTACACAATCATAAATTATTTATATTTGCAGATCAGCAGGCTTATTTTCCAAATTTGTTGATCTAAAATGATGTTCACTTTGTAGTACATTGCATCATATGTTTTATAATATTTCTGCTTCAAAAAGAAACTATATAGCATACCAAACAATGATATTCATAAATAAAAAAAGGTATAGGTTACTAGCACGGTAAATCTGAAGCGTCAAAAAGTGTTCAATTACACACTGTGGCCCTTGGCTAACAAATATGACGCCATGATTACCATAAGTCGAAAGAAAAGGACAACGATAGACGTTCCAGAACTGGTGCGATAAGAACATGAAGATCAAGAGGGAATGCACTGAAATGTAAGTAAAACATTAAAATGTGTATGTGTGCTGCCACTGGGACGACTGCGTTTGAAACATTTTTTTCGGGGGTTTTGTGGGCATGAATGTATTTATAGAAAATATCATCGATACCAAACAATGTGTTTAAAGTGGCTATCTTTCCGATGGCAACGAAGTTCGAGAATAGACCTGCAGCTATGTGTAAAAAATATATTGCAAATAATTCTTAATATTTTCTTTTTCAGGTTAATATTAGTAATTGGTTTTGTGTTGTAATAATACATGAGTGAATACAAAGTATAAGAAAACTATTTTTTGATGAAAGAATTATTTTCAAAAATAGCCATGAAAATGAACATTAGAAATCCAAATTTGTAAGCCTAACAGTATGATCATTATTATTACAAAGATAAACACATCTCATAATAAATTAGGTATTACTTTTTACTTTCAGAATAAAATGAAAATTAATATCTTAACTTTTATATTTACCTTAGTGCATGAAGGATCTTCGGGCTTTTTTGGTATTTCAGTAACGGAGTCTTCATAGCCCTCTGCCCCTGGGGGGCAATCAGGAAGTTCCATCTTGATTCACTACACTTGACAGTTTATGGCCACAACAAGCTGGTCATAAACTTTTTGTCATTAAATGAAAAAGCTTTTATAATCTTCTGTCTTGTTTCTTCAGTCACCAAATTCTGAAAAATAAATCATTTTCGTGATTTTCATTGTTTATAGTTGTTATAATATTCACTTATAGTAAAATTATTTAAATTGATACTTACAATCTTTGTTCGGTCAAAATACTTACACTGAAGGTAAATTTATCACAGCTGTAGTACAGAAAAAAATAAAATAAAAATATGTTGATTAGTTCATCTCCTAGTTAAAGGCATACACAATTTTTAATGAGTACATTTAAAATTTATGGACTGGATAATTTATTAAAATAAAAAATTATAATTAAATAATACTTCCAATAAGATGTTTATTATTATAAGCACAATATGTTAAATCCACATTTTACATACAAATGAATAAAAATTATAAAGTTTTCTAAAATATTTAACTAAATTTTAGGATGTTTGTTCCAAAAGCATCTATTGTACAGTTCAAGTGTTGCCTGAAATGTTTAAAAAATACCTAACAATAATCAAAGTGAGGATTTATTTTGTGAAAAGTTTAACTGAGGCATAAATTTATTTATCAGCCCCTAAGCAATCTGTTGCTAAGCATGAGTTTCTCTCATATCAGAGGGATTGTTTTGCAATTGCTCCACTCGGCAGGCATTTAGGTGATTATAATACTAAGCACAGCATAGTGGTTTTGAATATATAACATATAGCATATATCATCATCATCATCATCATCATTACAGCCCTTGTTCAGCTGAACATAGGCCTCCCCCAAGTAATGCCACAAAAGCACGGTCCTGAGCTACCTGCACCCATCGACTTCCTGCAATCTTACCAGGTCGTCACTCCATCTAGTGGGGGGTCGCCCTACACTACGCCTACCGGTACGAGGCTGCCACTCGAGAACCTTTTTTCCCCATCGGTTATCGGTTCTTCGAGCTATATGGCCGGCCCATTGCCACTTCAGCTTACTAATCCGTTGGGCTATGTCGGTCACTCTGGTTTTACTGCGGATATCCTCATTTCTGAGTCTATCACGCAGAGAAACTCCGAGCATAGCCCTCTCCATAGCTCGCTGAGCGACCTTGAGCGTCCTCACACGGTCAGCAGTGAAGGACCACGTCTCAGATCCGTAAGTCATTACTAGCAACATGTACTGGTTGTACACTTTAGTTTTCAGAGATTGAGGTATACCTGACGAGAAGATGTGTCGTAATTTCCCGAACGCTGCCCAGCCGAGTTGAATCCCTTGATTGACCTCTCGGTCGAAGTTGGACTTACCTAGTCGGACTATTTGTCCCAGGTAAACGTATTCGTCAACAACTTCGAGCATAGTGCTCCCAACAACTACCGGCATAGGTATGACATGGACATTAGACATGATCTTTGTTTTGTCCATGTTCATCTTAAGACCTATCCGTTGGGAGACACCATTGAGGTCATTGAGCATAGTGCTTAGGTCCTCCAGCGATTCTGCCATAAGGATTATATCGTCGGCAAATCGAAGGTGAGTGATGTACTCGCCATTGATGTTAATACCGTATCCTTTCCAGTCCAGTAGCTTGAAAACGTCTTCCAATGCAGCGGTGAAGAGTTTCGGGGATATAACGTCACCCTATCTTACACCTCTCTGCAGTTGGATAGGTTTCGAATTCTGGTTCTGTACTCGGATAGCCATCGTAGCCCTACTGTAAAAACACTTCAGCACTTCGATATACCGATAGTCAACTTGGCACCGCTGAAGGGACTGCAGCACCGCCCAAATTTCGACGGAATCAAAGGCTTTCTCATAGTCCACATACGCCAGGCAAAGTGGCAGATTGTACTCTTCGGACTTCGCAGGGTATGTATGTGGTCTACGGTACTGAAGCCTTTTCGGAAACCGGCTTGTTCGGGAGGCTGGAAGTCGTCGAGTCGTGCGAGACGATTCGTAATGACTCTCGAAAACAGCACGTAGACGCGGCTCAGAAGGGATATCGGTCTGTAGTTCTTCAAGAGGGCGTTGTCACCATTCTTGAAGAACAAGACCACCGCACTTTTCCTCCACGCCTCCGGAGTAGTGCCACCATGGAGGACGGAATTGAAAAGCTTCTGAAAGACTTCAAGTACCGGTGTTCCACCCGCTTTCAGGAGCTCCGCTGTAATTCCATCCTCGCCTGGGGCCTGAGGTTTTTAAGGCCTGAAACTGGGAAGGATGAAAATCCAGCCCGAGCAGTAGGCACGGCCGCCGGAACCAGCTCTAAGAAATCCGCCAGGAACCAGAGAGCAGCCAAGCATCCTGGAAAGAAGGAAAGAGCAGCCAAAAGATTGCTGGAGGAGTCCACCTCGCCGAGGAGGAGAGCACAAAAATGTGCGACTTGAACAGCAAACAAAGACTGCAAGAACAAGCTACGCTTCTGCTGCTAAAGCAGATTTGGGTGTGGCCTTAACGTGTGCGCGTTCAGGTCACATAACAAAGGAGATAGCTGATGACATCCCCGTGGCCATACAGAGGAAGATGATCAGCGAGGCCTGGAGTAACCAGGACCCTGATGTGTCGGGCCCGGTTTTTAGAGGCAAAACATGTGTATGTGGGGCGGTATACGTTAAATTCCAGGGTCGTGGAGGAAAATTCGTTGATTCCCCACCTAGCAAAGAGGCAGAAAAGAACCCGGAAGTCATGGATACCGTGGCCATGGTTGCCGGTACATCGAAATCACTGGATGTCAAGTCCAGTGAAAAAACTGCCTGCACAACCGAGCCGAAGCCCCCAATGGAAACTGAGCTCAGCGGCAGCTCACTGAGCGACGAAGAGGTCTGCATTTTGCCGTCCAATTCCGACTCGGTGGCTGACGATGAAACCCGAGATCTGCTGGCAGGCTTATTTTTAGGCGGGGACGGGGATGACGCGATCGATGATGGCGTGCCCTTTGTCCAAAACTAGCCTAGTGCAGGCCAACCTCCACCACAGTGAGACAGCGTCGGCTCAATTACGCAAGTGGTTGGAGGCACAAAGGACGGCCATAGCCCTAATCCAAGAGCCATGGGTTGGGGCCGGTAAAATTAAAGGCCTAAACAAACTAAGAGGTAAGTTATTCTACAACTCTGAGCACGACAAGCCTAGAGCGTGTATTTATACTACTAAAGATATCTGTGCAAAACCACTAACAGATTTCTGTTCCAGAGACATGTATGCCATAGCATTACAAAACACACAGGAGGAAAGGTTAGTCGTCGCCTCGGTCTACATGCCTGAGGAAGACACCCCTCCCCCTCACGACCTCGTCAGGCTGGTGAATTTCTGTGAGGGCCGGACTAGAAGTTGTGATCGGGACGGACTCCAACGCGCATTATCCCCTTTGGGGAATGGAAAAACCTAATGAACGAGGTAAGGTTTTAGTTGAATATTTATTTAGCACTAACCTAACCATATTAAACACTGGTTCTGAACCAACCTTCATAAATAAACGCTGTCGCACAATAATCGACCTCACACTTGCAACAGAAGGAGCAGCTAAGCTAATAACGGGATGGCATGTGTCGAAAGAGGCCTCATGCTCAGACCACAGATGGATCTGCTGCGTACTACAGGTCGATATCCCCGCTATACCACCATGGAGAAATCCCCGCAAGACGGATAAAACAAAATACTTCAATAGGCTGACGTCTTCGCTTGCGGGTGTTGGGGGAACTAATACCATAGCAGATCAATCGCTCCTGGAAGAACAGGTAGCAGCTGTCACTAAAGCCATGATCGATAGCTACCATGAATCATGTCCAGTAATCACTCCACCAAAACATGCTGAGCAAAAGCATCAGTGGTGGGGTAAAGAACTGGACAGGAAACGTAAGAAGATAAGAAAAGTCCTAAATAGGGCAATGAATACCTCAAAGGATGAAGACTGGCTTCTATATAAGAAAGCTAAGTCTGAATACAAAAAATGTATCAGGTATCGACGCTCAACAGGGTGGCGCAAATTCTGTGGTAGCATAGAAACCTGTGCACAAGCAAATCGGATAAGGAAAATCCTAGCTAAACAGAACACGCCGGGATCTATCTCTTTAAAGAAACCCGACGGAAGCTACTCAACATCGCCGGATGAAACCCAACGCATCCTAATTGATACTCACTTCCCAGGTTGCTGTGTAGTTGAAAGGGTGAACCGGCATGAAGATGCACTGACACCAACAAAAGAAGACTGGGAATTAGCACAAAGAGTGGTGACGATGGACAAAATCCATTGGGCCATTCATAGTTTCCAACCCTATAAGGCAGCAGGACCTGACGGCTTATTCCCGGCACTTATTCAGTGGGGGGGGGGGGGGGGTAAAGTCCAAATAGTCAGACTTGTTGCCATAATGAGAGCATGTCTGGCTCTTAAATATGTTCCTAGGGGATGGAGGGAAGTGAAAGTCACATTCATACCCAAACCAGGTAAGAACGACCTACAGACCCTAAATCCTACAGACCTATTAGCCTCACATCCTTTCTCCTAAAGACGATGGGGAGGATGTGTGAACGGGAGTTGAGAGGGTCGGCGCTAATTAACTTACCGCTACACGAAAAACAACACGCCTATAACTTAGGTAAATCAACAGAATCGGCACTTCACCAGGTAATAACAAAGATTGAAGAGGCCATCCAAAACAAAGCAATATGTCTAGGCTCCTTCATAGACATAGAAGGTGCTTTTGACAGAACAAATTTCTCCAGCATAAAAGGTGCCTTAAGTAGACATAATGTTGAACTGGCACTGATTGACTGGATAGTAAAAATGCTCAGTACACGAACAATAAAGATTGCTGGTGAATCTCAGACAATTCAGATCATGAAAGGATGCCCGCAGGGTGGGGTTCTTTCACCTCTCCTGTGGAATATGGTCATTAATGAACTCATCAGCAAATTAAACGCTAATCATTTCTATTCAGTCGGTTATGCAGATGATCTGACAATACTGGTCTCTGGTAAGA